TTTTGAATCGTCGCCCAGGGCAGAAGAGGCGCATAAAACGGCGCGGTGCGGCGGAACAGGCGGGGGCAAGGATTCGAATATATGGAGGGTTGTACTATGTTGTACTGATTGGAATTAGGATGAGGTGTACACTGTACACTACTTTCAGACAACCCCAAATATATATATATGTGTTTTTTTATTTTTTTTCAAACCGAGTGTCTGAGATGAAGCATCTTGATGCATCTTGTAGGTTTCAAGTATATTTGGTGGCGCGATCATACCCTGTTTTACTGGATATATCTTGCCTGTGACCGAATGGGGCCTCCAAATAGGGGACATCGGTGGAGACAGGCTTGACTGGTGTAGTTTCATACTGTGACTTTAGGAATAAAGGATGAACATGAATATAACTCTATCAATGTAAATTCATATATATATATATAATATGATATATAGTAATATATACATATATGTCAATATACAGTTGTACTCTCCTGCGAAAGATTATTTTGGCAGGCAGGAGGCTATTTGAATCTGAGAAGATTGTGTTTTTCATACTATAGAAATGAATAGACATGATTCATGACTTGGAAGATTACCATTTCAGCCGTTTTTTTATTTTATTTTTTTGGCACTGCAGCATCGCAAGTTGCATTCCATCATGAAATCTGGGACAAAACACAAAAATGATGGTTTGTAAGGGAACCATGCCAAGATTTTCTTATTTCAGGTCGGTGAATTCTTATAATTTATACAGATTGAAGGGAATGTTCCTTTGATATACACATGTAGAAACTTGTAGATGCATAATCCACAGTACCTACAAATGGCCGCTTTCCATCCATCATTGCCAGGCTCTTAGAACTCTTTGTTGCCTTTACTTGGTTTACCTCATGATTTCATATTGATCGGAGTTTTGGTTAATTTTGGTTTATATCCTTTTATATCCCTTATGTTATTCATTGTTTTTCTTGGTCGTGTCAAACATCCTTTTGGGTAGGTTTCCCGAGACCTACTTGTTGTTGCTTAAAGCTGAATGCCTGCAGTTTTCTCCATGTTGTCTCCATTTCTCATGCTGAATCTCCAGTTTTGCTCCCTGGATTTTGCTCTTTCGCTGCTCATGTGCCAATTTTTGCTACTTAACTCGTCATGTTTGCTAGACATGTTGAGTAATCATCCCCTTCTGCTTCAATCATTTCACCTCAAATCCCAAGATTTGCTCCGCGACTTGCGCAACGCAGGTGGCGTTGCCGCCGGAAGCGCCGGCGTTTCCGCCGGCACTCCGCGCAGCAGCGCGGAGCTGCGTGAGGCAGTGGAGGTCGCCAAGTCGTAGCGCAGAGAAATTGGGTTATGGTTGGGGGATTATACGATCACTCTATAACTATAAGATACTATAAGTATTGATGTTTATATATGTTTATTGGGTTATACTATTTCTATCTGGATACATTTATAACGGTCCCATTTTTTTTTTAAGGTGCATCAAAATGCGACCAAAAACTGGAATAATGGTTTGGTTTGAGGAATTGTCCCAAGACAAAACCTTATTTCAGGCTAGTGAATTATTATGTAATAAAGAATATTACAATTTGCCCAGATATTATTATCATTCCAATCCCATCCAATTCTTATGATAATCTTGGAACACTATGAGAAGCTTGGCAATATCTTGAGGATTATCACTGCTGGATGCCAAACATATTCCAGTACATAACCCATTTTCTTTTGATTTCATGTGCCAGCATGTTTCAATTCCAATTCAATGGCTGTCACCCGCAGCTACCGTTTAGCTTCCATTTGCAGCTGAAGACATTTGGCGACGGCGAAAACGAGCTGAGCATTCTACAAGCTGCTGCATTTTGGAGGCGAGGGATCTAAGGTGGAACCGGGCCCTGGTGGTTGAATCCACTAGGTTATGAGCCCAAGGGCCTAGCCGCTGCACTTTCCAATGATGTTCTCAAGAAGAAGGGCATCACCCCAGGAGATCGAAGAGGGCAATCGACAAATGCAGCAAGCGCAACAGAGACTTGACGCAGAAATAGCAGCTGGTTCAGAGTTGCCTTTGGAAGATGTGAAAGGTATGGAAACCGTGGTTCCAGAGTCCCCCAAATCACCCGTGAAGGAAGAGAGTTTGGGAAGAGAGGAAGGGCCTAGAAGTTTTCCTGCCTCACTTGTGCCTGCTGTACCTGGACAGGAATCTCAGGTGATGCCGGCCACTCCAGAAAGCCAAGTTAAAACTGAGGTGAAAACGCCAGCTCAGAAGTCTGAGGTCCGTGATGAAACTTCAGGTGCTGTCGTTGTTCAACATGAAGCAGTTGTTCCTGTGGTGACCGACGTCGTTGCCACAAACGCCAAAAAGATGGAGAACGGAGGGTCCGCAGATCTTCCACGAGCACTAGATGTTTCTGGCCAAAGGCATCCAGATCCGGTGCCACTGACGCCGGGGACCCAATCTGGCGCTTCACCACCGCAGCAACCTCTTTTTGATGACCAACAACTTCGCAGGTTTCAAGAACTTTTTCAACAAGCTCCTTGGCTGTACCCCGGTGGTTCTGTGGCATTCCACCAACCAGCCATTCAACCTCCAATTTCGAGACCTCTTTTTCTCGAGCAAGATGAACGTAGAATACAAGAAACTGTTGGGATGGGTTCGCAATATGTATACCCATATGCACCTGCAGTTGGGGTTCGAGAAAATTTGGAGTTGAAAAGGGGAATTGAAGAAGTTTTGGAAGAAAATAGGAAGTTGAGGGAGAAGGTTGAACGTCTTGAGAAGGCGCAGCTATCCCAATCTGAAGAGGATCCAAAGTTTTCAACACCAACAGGAGATAACCCAAAGGAGGCTGAGACCCCCCACCAGGAGGCTGATAGACCACCAAAGGGAAGTCAGTCGTACCACCGTGTTTCAAAGGAGGCTGAGACCCCCTACCAGGAGGCTGATAGACCACCAAAGGGAAGTCAGCATGTGCGCCAGGTATCAAAGGAGGCTGAGACCCCCTACCAGGAGGCTGAAAGACCACCAAAGCCCGAAGGCCGCCAAAGATCGAAGACCCCAGAAAGCAAGGAGGCTGATAGACCCCCAAAGAATGGAAGTGATGAAGAACCAACGACGGTGAAGGTCATGCTGAAGCTCATGGAAGGCATGCAGGCGATTCAACGTCAGATGTTGGAACATCGAGATGAGGACACTGCGACTGAATCAGTCCGACAAGCTCCAGCACTACCAGCCCTTTCAGAGTGGAGTGCAACTACGGGTCCAATTGATCTCAATGACTGGATGGCGCTCATCGAGCCTATGATGTGCGACCTTAGCAACTCCAGTGCGCAATGGTGGCAACAGCTTGTCATGGAGGCCCACCTTTGGTATCAACGGCATCTTCAACTACCACCTCTTGATCGAGTTGCACATGTACCAGCTCCCTCAACGGAATTGGCCAAACCCAAATGGGCCAGGCTGGAACGTCGAGCTTCGACACTTCTGCTGATGGCAGTTCCTGAAGGTCAACGAGAAGAACTCATTTCAGCCAAAAGGCTGAGTGCGATGGCAATCATTTGCCAACTCCTGGTCACTTACCAACCAGGAGGGCTTGCAGAAAAGGAATTGATCCTGAGGTCCCTTGAGCTCCCTCCGGAGTCATCGAACCTTGTGGAGGCCGTGCAAAGCCTTCGCAGGTGGGCGCGCTGGAGACGACGTGCAGCAGATCTCCAGATCTCCGAGCCGGACCCCTTTCTTCTTTTGAAGGGCCTCAACAGGATCATCAAAAAACCTTTGGAGAACAACCGAGACCTTTCCTTCAGGATAAGTCTTGCAAGATCTACATTGCAGGTGGATTCAACTCCGACTTCAACTTCGGTGACTTCCTTTGCCCTACACCTTGTCGCTGAGTTCGAGCAGGTCGTCCATCAGGAGACTTCCAATGCATCAAAGAAGCGTGTGGAGCCAGAGAAAGCGAAGGTGTCCAAACTGAAGAAGCTTGAAGAAGAAGGAAGATCGCCGACAAAGAAGGAGGAGCAGAAGGAGGAAAAAGGGAGGTGTAAGTTTTTCCTGTCAGAACAGGGATGCAGAAGAGGAAAGATGTGCAGTTGGTCGCATGACCAGAAGGACGAAAAAAGAAGATGTTGGAACTGTGGTTGTCCTGACCACATGTCACCAAGCTGTCCACGACCAAAGGACAGAAACGACCAGTCGCCGCAAAAGCCAAAGATCCAGAAGGCCGAGGGGGAGGAGACTTCATCACCGACGAGCTCTACGAAAGGCAAAGAAGAGGAGGTGTCTGAGACAGCTTCTATGAAGGAGTTGCTTGAGCAGGCCAACACGATGCTCAAGTCGCTGACATCATCTACTCCATCTACATCTTCAAGTACGACATCAAGCCCCACGGAAACCAAGGATGAGGTGATGGATCGACTGCAACAGCAGCTCAACCAGTTGAAGCTCAAGGTGTTCAAGATCAACCAGATCTCCCATGGCCAACATCAAGGCCTGATTGACTCAGGGGCCACACATCCCTTGCGTCCGAGAAGGCCTGGTGAATGTGATTCGTCCTACAAGAAGGTTTCAGTGACTTTGGCAAATGGCGAATCTACAACTCTGCAGGTGACTCCCGGTGGCATCATGGTTACAGATCGACATGACGTCGAACCAATTTTGCCTATGGGACAGCTGGTCCATGACTTGGGATGTCAGGTCAAATGGGCTGGAGAAACTCTGAATGTCGTCCATCCTGTGCGAGGGCAACTACCAGTTGAAAACCGCAATGGATGCCCACAACTTCCAAGGACGTTGGCTTTGGATTTGATAGAAGAAATGGAGACAGCAGGAGTTCAGAAGAGCATGAAAAGCATCAGTTTCGAGAAGGAAAAGAAATGGATGGAAGATCTTGTGGAAAGCCACCCTGTTTTGCGAGGCCTTCCACAGCATGTCAAAAGCCGCTTGGTCACTGACATCGGAGACTGGAAGGATCTGCCGGTGAACAGAAGACAACGAAAGCGCTTGCAAAGAGATGGCTTTCTTTTGCACTTGTATGCAGGAGAACAAGATGGCTTCACCTTGTCAAGAGCCTGGAAGCAGCAAGGTGGAATGGAAACCCAACTCTTGGAGATCGATGTCAAGAGAGGAGAAGGTCACAACATGTTGCTCGACAATGGTGTCTACGCTGGACTTCTTCGAGCAGCCCTACAAGATCGAATTGATGCGGTCATCACTGGCCCAAACTGCCGGACCAGATCGGTCTTGAGGCACTATCCACGTGAAAATGCTCCGCGACCAGTGAGGGCATGGAATGGTGAAGAGTATGGATTGGCTGATCTGACCCCAGCCGAAAAAACCCAAGTTGAGGAGGACGACATCCTTCTTTGGAGATCGATCTTCTTGTGGATGATCTCAACTTACCTTCGACGAGCTCGACAAGTTCGAAAAGAAGTTGGATTTCTTTTGGAGCAGCCTGCAACACCGAAAAGCTACATGCCCCAATGTGTGTCTTTCTGGGATACTGAGGAGTGGTCAAAGCTGAAGGAAGAATTTGAGTTCTCTGAGACCACCTTTTGCCAGGGACATCATGGAGGTGCAGCCACAAAACCCACTACGATGGCAGGAAACTTGGAGCTGCGTCCAGAAGAACACCGAATGAAAAAGACTTCCTCTACTACAATCAGATCGTCAGCAGAACTGTCTCGATGGGCCCCAGGTGTGATGAACATGGTGGCTGAGGCACTTCTGACTCAAGTCGTCAATCGGCAGCCAAAGGTTTCTTCTTTGTCATGGGAAGAACATCTACGACATGGACACATACCTTTCAGGAGGGACTGTCTGGTGTGTCAACAATCTCTACAACAACAACCGCCTCACAGAAAAGTGAAGCACCCCTTGGGAGGAGTCCTGTCCATCGACACAACAGGGCCCTTCATTAGAGCCTATGATGCAGGTGGCTACCAGTCTGCATACATCTTGGTTGGCGCTCTCACTTGGACGGTGCCAAAAGACTCCAAGATTCGAGAAGAAGAAGTACCAGAACTTGAAGGCGAAGCCCCAAACTTTGAAGCCAGAAAGGACGAAGAAGTGATTCCAATCGAAGATCAACATGATCAACCTCAAGAGCAGCCCCAGGGAATCTTTGAGGATGAAGTTCCTGAAGATGAGGAGCATCAAAGAGCCCCAGAGGGTGAGGATGAAGTTCCAAAAGATGAGGAGCGTCAAAGGGCCCCAGAGGGTGAGGCTGAAAGAAAAGAAGAAGAAAAGGAGGAGTTCGAGACGCGAGTCTTTCGTCTTGCGGCTCCTATGTACTCAAAGAAGGCAACTGAAGTCACCCGAGCGGTGATGGACATGATGCTCCGTCTTCGAGCTGACGGGTACCACATTGGCCATATCCACAGCGATCAGGGCCATGAATTTCAAGGCCATTTCAAAAGATGGTGCCGAAAAAGAGGAGTTCTTCTGACAAGGACGCCAGGAGACGATCCAAGAGCCAATGGACGTGCTGAGACGGCAGTGAAGTCCATAAAAACACAAGTCAGGAGGATCCTACTTCAGGCACAAGCAGAACCAACATGGTGGCCTTGGGCGACACGATATGTCAACGAGCTCAACCGTTCAGTCAGGCTTGCAAAGACCCCTGACTACCCTCCTTTTCTCTCCGACATCATGGTCAGAAAGCGAAGATGGAGGAGAGGAACCTTCGAAACTTCCACAGAGATCGTGAAGTATCTTTGTCCTGCTCCTGAAGAACATGGACACTGGGTTAAGCCAAAGGACGAAGCTCCGAGAATCACCAAGCTCATCATGAAGGCGACGCACCTTCCAGTGGCTGAGGAACAGTGGATGGCTTTGGAGCGAGAGTCCTTGGATGCCTTAGCTGTCAGAAGAAGGATGAGAGGGAAATCAACGATAAGAGAGCTTCAAGAGGAGGACAGAGAAGGTAAAGAAGAGGAGGAGGAAAAGAAACGAAGAGTGTGCATGCTCCGCCTGATTGAAAAGGAGATGTGCCTCATGGTCGATGACGACCCCGAGCTGGCCAAAGAAGAGTTTCAGATCTTGGCCAACATCAGAAAGATGGCATCTGTGCCGAATGAAGAAGAAGAAGAAGTTCTTCAGACACGGATTGTGTCGCCAAAAGAGGTTTCTGATCACTGGCAAGATTGGATTCCAGCGGTCAAAAGCGAGGTCGACTCACTTCTCTATGACAAGCAGGCCTTCAAGGAGATTGGACCTGAAGAACTTTCTCAACTACGACAAGAAGCAGAAAAGGCTGGAAAAGGAATCGAGTTCATTCCTTCAAAGCTGGTCTTCACTCGAAAGCCTGGTCCTGACGGAGGTCGCAAAAAGATGAGGTGGGTGGCTTGTGGCAACCTCGAACCCAAGAAGGAGGACGAGGACAACTTCAGCTCAGGAGCTGATGCAGCATCACTGAGGATCTTGGTGTGGTGCGCAGCGCTTTTCCAATGGAGCGCTTCAGTTCTGGATGTTCGAACGGCATTTTTGAATGCCAAAATGGTGCTCTCTGAAGATGAGGATGTGATCCTTGTCAAACCTCCCTGGCTTTTGACAGAGAAAGCCTACCTTCGGAAGGATGTGTACTACCTCCCTGAGAAGGCCATCTACGGCTTGAGACGGTCACCGAAGCTCTGGGGCATCACAAGAGATGAGACCATCTCGTCCCTAGAAATCCAGGGGGAGTACAACGGCAAGAACATGGACTTCCACTTTGAAGCCCTGCAGTCAGAACCCAACTTGTGGCGCCTTGTCAACTCCAATGATGATGAGGATACCACCACCTATGCGATGCTGATGACCTACGTGGACGACCTCATGCTGGCGTCGTCTCCCAATTTGCTCAACATCATCCAGGAGAAGCTTCGAACGACATGGAGCACTTCAACCCCGGAGATGGTTGGCGAAACTCCAGTGCGTTTTCTTGGAGTTGAAATCTCAAAGACATGGTGTGATCAACTACAACGTGAAGTTTGGATGGTCACTCAGCAGAGCTACACCACCGACATGGTGCAGAAGGAAACCGACCTCAAGGCCAAAAAGATCCCCATCTCAAGGGACCAATCTCAAATGGAGCCATCAACGGAAGCTCCCACCACAGAGATGATTCGTGCGGCTCAGAAGGCCGTTGGAGAAGTCCTCTGGCTCACCACCCGTGCCAGACCGGACATTATGTTCACAGTGGCCCGAATGGGGTCATCAGTGACGAAAGCCCCTGAAGCAGTGCTGAAGGCCTCAATCCAGCTCAAAGGCTATTTGAAGGCTACATCCAATGAGGGCCTGATCTTCAAGATTGGTGAGAACGAACACCCGGTCCTCACGGTGTTCACTGATGCCAGTTTTGCTCCGGATTCCCAGGAGTCTCATGGGTCCTTCATAGTGATGTTGGGAGCCACACCCATTTTCTGGCGGTCTGGAAGACAGGGATTTGTGACCCTCAGCACAGCAGAGGCCGAGCTGACTGAGATCGTGGAGGGGATGATAGCAGGGGAGTCAATCTTTGTCATCCTTGCCGAGCTGTTCCCAAAGGTCTCCAAGCTGGTGAAAACAGACAGCATGTCTGCACAGGCCATTTTGGCCAACGAAGGTGGAAATTGGCGAACCCGCCATTTGCGCTTGAGATGCTCGTTTGCCAGGCAGTCCATTCTGGCAGGCGAGTGGTCAACACAACATGTGGCAGGAGAGTACATGCTGGCCGACATCGGCACCAAACCCCTGTCATCAGTGCGTTTTGAGTTTTTGAAAAAGCTCATGGGCATGGGCAGCCTGCCTATGAAAAGCGAAGAGAAGGTTGAAGTTGAAGAAAAGTTGGAGGGAAAAGAAAAGATTGAAGACGAAGAGAAGTTAGAAAAGAAAGAGAAATTTGAAGTTGAGGAGAAAGAAAGAAAGAAAGAAGGAAGAAGGAGAAAAGCGAAGTGAAAAGCAGGACGGCCGTAAGGCCAACAAAGATGGCCAATTTTTGGCCGAAGCTGCTCAAGTACTTCGTTTGATCACCATGGCAGCGACTATGTCGATCTCGAAAGCGGAAAAAGATGGAGAAGCAGCTGAAGAGACGGTATCTTTTGAGGTCATCGTTCTCTACACCTTTGCGGTGGTCTTCATAACTTTGATGGCACAGCGAATTTGGGAAGCTGGAGTACGGGGAGCGAGATTTCTGCGACAGCATGTGCTTGCTCAACCTGGAAGTCACCCTGGACGCGCTGTGGGAAGATCTACAAGCTCTTCCTCAAGGGAACCTTTGCGATCAACGGCGGCACCAATCACAGGCCGCTCCATCGAAAAGACTGGACGATCATCGGCGATGCCGACTGCTCCTCTACCAGACCAACATGCTCCGCTACCACGAGATCCACATGCTCAGCTACCACGAGTTCAACGACGTGCACAAGAACCAGAAAGAATTTTGCGGGGAAATGAAGCTCCGCTACCACATGATCAACCAGAAGGGCCAACATCATCAACATCAGAGCCTCAACGAGACATCCTACGTGAATGGGATGAGATTGAACGTGAAGAAAGGCTGGTAACAGCCGAGCTGAATCGTGCGCACCCCGGACATCCTCTACTTGGACCGCCTCACCAGCAGTTGAATGAATATGAAACAGTGGATCTGCCGTTTTTGGTCATCACAACGAAGTGCGGAACGGTATATCATTCACACTGGAGTTGCCGTTATTTAACTGCCACGGCGACCGGTGCCAAAAGGAATCGAAAGTGGTGTTTGGAATGCAGGAAAGAAGCTGTTCAATCTGGCATTTTTCCATCACGTGGAGCTGCGATGTTTATGACGAACTGGGATTCTGATGCACATTCAAATCCAATGTGCAGTCGAGCTGAAGGAGCAACCACCTTTAGCGTTTGCACTGCATGTTTTGATAGGTAGCTTGAGCTGGCCAAATCTTTCAAAGTTGACATTGCCTGTCGGCATGTCAAAGGGGGAGTGCTGGATGCCAAACATATTCCAGTACATAACCCATTTTCTTTTGATTTCATGTGCCAGCATGTTTCAATTCCAATTCAATGGCTGTCACCCGCAGCTACCTTTTAGCTTCCATTTGCAGCTGAAGACACTTGGCGATGGCGAAAACGAGCTGAGCATTCTACAAGCTGCTGCATTTTGGAGGCGAGGGATCTAAGGTGGAACCGGGCCCTGGTGGTTGAATCCACTAATCACAATCCATGAATCCATGAATCCATGATGGACATATCTATTAACCAACCAGTCTAATGGAATGAGACAGGAAAATTGAACACAGCCAAACTGGGTGGTTTTAGAATAAAAGCTAGGGGTTTAACAATCAGCAACAATGGCAAGATGGTGGTCATAGGCATAATTTTGGGGGTTAGCAGGGGTCAAAATCATGATTAAACAAAAACTGTAACAGATTTAATCATGATTCAACAATTTTTAATGATTTGACTGTTAAAACATGATTTAATCCATTTAATCATCAAAAATCAGCCTCCGGACCGACATGTTTGATCAACATGGATATGGGGGTTTGGAGGCCAGAGAGATGATCACAAGAATTCTATTGGGATATCTCGGAGATATTTAAGGAAAATGGTTAAACTGTTAAACCATGCTAAACCAACAAAGATGGGGATTTACCTGTGATGAAAACTGGCATTTTTAAAAGGTTGAGAATAACATGTGGAGTTTAACCAGCAAGATTTGTGCGTTTAACCAGCAGAAACTTGTGTTTAAAAATGGGGATTGAGCCAACAACGCTCTGGACTGATCGACGTCCCGAAGAGCAAAGGCTACAAGTTTGCGCGCGTTTACGTCCAAAGCCACCAACAAACATTGTCAGTGGTTGATAGTATATGATAGTACATGATAGTAAATATTGATTGTATGTTAGTATAACTTATACTATCATATCATCATACTATCATATACTATTATAAGGAGGTCAGAATGCTATACTGGTGATTCTCATCCATTCAAAGGGAATCCCCAGCAACCAACAAGTGGGTAAACGCACGAAGTGGTGGAGAGCAACGGGCAAACCAACACGGCTCGAAAGTACATGATTTCTTAGCCAACAAAAAAAGGGGTTTAAGCAACAAAATTGGGATTGATTCATTAAAGACGCATGGTTTCTGTATTTTTTTTTATTGGTTTAATGTTTGACCAACAAACGTTAATCATCAAAAGTGGGATTTAACCAACAACAACCGGTGTTAATTGACAAAAATGCAGTTAATCATGCTGTACATGCAGTTTAACCACACAAACTGACGATTTTACCATCAAAAGACCGAATTTGATCAGAAAATTATGCGTGAACCAACTGGGTGAATGGTCGGTCAGTGGGGAATTGTCTTTGGAGCATCGCCAGGAATGCTTGGGTACATGGATTTTTCTGAGCTGTAAATGAGGGCATAGTATATTCCTCCGGAACATATCCCAGCAAAATAATCAAACAGATTCCTTTTCCCATTGGTTGATTGATTGATAAAGTGGTGGCCCCCATTGAATAGACCAATAAGTAATGATACATGACATACCAAACTGGCCTCTCGATTTTCCCAGAAGGACATGATTGAATTTCACTAAAATTTTAAATGAACAGTTTTCTGGGGAACATGACACACACACATATATATATATGTGTATATTATATAATGTAATATGATATGATTTAATATAATATAAGAATATGATATAATATTATGATAAATTAGAATCCAATAAAATAACATAATACAATATGATATTATGATATACGGTATTATAATTCAATAAGATCATTTAATATAATATAGTATGGTATAGTATCATATTATATCATATTATATCATATTATATCATATTATATCATATTATATCATATTATATCATATTATATCATATTATATCATATTATATCATATTATATCATATTATATCATATTATATCATATTATATCATATTATATTATTGTAGTATACAATGATATTATATCATATTATATATTATATCATATTATATCATATTATATCATATTATATTATATTATATTATTGTATATATCTATATATATTATATCATATTATATCATATTATATCATATTATATTATTGTAGTATACAATGATATTATATCATACCATATAATACAATATAATACAATATAATGTAATTTAATGCAATATGATATGATAATATAATACAATATAATATGATATGATATGTGTTCTGCGGACGTTTAAAATTGGATATTTTTTTTGGACATTCCCAATCATGACTCATGACCAAAGACTTGCGGCTCCTATGATTGAAACGTGATCAAGACCAACTGTCCAGGGCATTCAAAAGAAGGCACCAGAGTATTGAGGGGGGGTCCTTTGTGAAAAAACACCAACCAGCTGAGGTATTTGCATGAACGCGCTTACGAGTAGCCATGACGCAAAGACTTGGGTGGGTTGATGAACTGCACAAGGTATTTACATCATGGTATTGCAAATAAAGGCACAGACATCTGGCCCATCTGGCCCATCTGGCCCATCTGGCCACTATTCGAGGGCTGGCTTTGAAAAAGAGTGCCAATATGCAATATTATTTATTCTAGACTGAAACTGAAACGTACTGTATATTATATATGTACAATTATCATCATCTACTGTACATCCAGATATCTTCAGTAGCTGGCGGTTGTGGATTTCAAACAGGGCTGAGTTTCTCTCAAAATTGTTGCATGACCAGGGCCAAGCAGAAATTAAACACCAGAAATGGGATGTGACTAGAACAGCAAGCATTTTATGTGGATGATCCATGGGATATACATAACCCATAAAATGCTATTTGATACATAACCAATTAATATCATGAGATGGCTTGTGCTCACAATGGAAATGGCCCTCAAGCCGGATGCCCGGCCGGGAAACTTGGGAAACTGATGAGACAAGCGGACCCAAAATCACTGTCCAAGAGCCACGGAGCCAAAAAAACATCAACGACTACCCTCTGGTGAACTAACATAGCAATGGAAAATCACCATTTTTAATGGGAAAATCCACTATAAATGGCCATTTTCAATAGCTATGTTAGTTCACCAGAGGGTATGTTGGTTCTATCTCCCTGGTAAGTGCTCTAGCCGCCATTCGGGCTGGTTGTAGATTTGATTCCAAATATGATCCCAGACATGCCAACTAACAAGAAAATGACGACCCTGCTACGAATTATCCCAGTGGCCGCTGGTTGGTATAGTATGCAATTAGAATCACCGAAAAGATGTGGTGTTCCATGACATGAAGGTTTCCCAAAATGGGGGTACCCCCAAATCATCCATTTTAATTAATAGGTTTTTCCATTGTAAACCATCCATTTTGGGGTATCCCCATTTATGGAAACCCCCATATATAGTTTACTGTCAAGTTACTTACTTTACTTACTGGGTCCCACAGATCCTTTTCCATCCCGCCGCAAGATGCCGCAAGTATAATTATACATATTAATATAGTCCCAAAAGGAGAAAGCCAAAACGCAATAGATATCACCAGACAGTGTATATATATATATATGTTATACATAATTGTATATGTGTAATTATGTATACATACTTAGTTTCATGACAGAACACACATACATATATATATATATATATTATATTGTACACATACGGTATATAGTCGTAATTGCTTGTGTATATATATATATTATACATTCCACACATCTTAGTCAACATTATGTAAGCAAACACTGGCAACGAAGCCATTCTCACTTTGAGCGCTCAGGTTTTTCGAGACTCCAGAAGAACTAGACGCGGTGCTCACCACTGTCGCGCAACACACGGATGCTCACAGCGACTTCCTGACAGGTCGCCGGGGGACCGGCCAGGGGCACCGGGATGGGGATGATTTTTGCGAATGGATGTTTTCACCTGGAGAATCGAACAACAATAGAGGGATTTCAACAAACTTGAGTTCAAGCAGAAATGATGTTGCTTTGACTGGAGGTCAAATGGATCAAGCCAGTGGGTGGCCCAAATTGTCATACTACTGTTATCTCCTTTTACAATTGCTAAAAACTTTGGGAACCCCAGGGCCTCCCCAGGGCGGCCTTCAGTTTTGATCCATACGTCCAACATCTGAAAACGTGCGTCATACAGGGCTTCCGGCTGTAAGTCGTGGTGACTTGTCGCGTGACCTGGGGTGACGTACGACGACTACGCTTCCTCCGCTAAGGAATGGAGTCATTCGCGGTAGGTTTCATTTTCCAAAAAAGGGTTCCCAAGAAAATCCAAGCCAGGAAGGAAGGGTGGAGAGTTGAGGCCCAAAGAATGCTGCCAGATTTGATCGCCTCATGTTGAAACTCAAACGTCTGCTGTAAGGTCTGGGTGACCCTAGCGCGGTTTCTTGTTTGCCAATGAAATAATCATTGGCGGATGTTTTCTTTGCATTGCATATGCATCTAGTTCCGCGTAATTATAAACACACATAATATTAATTATTACAGTAGCGATGAATAAAAGTTTTCTACATGTTTCAGATCCTGAAACAATAAAGCAATGATTTCACTAATGCTATACCTAGTTTTCAGCCCGGATATCTATGGCCTTGTGCCTCTTCGCGCAGGCGAGGCGGATGTGATTTGGCGCGGGGAGCGAAATGAGGAGCAGAATGAAGCGATGCTGTGCCCTTGGATGGACACCAGTGAAACATTTGCAACCACAGAATGAATGCCTACAAAATCAGAGACCATGAACACCCCCCAAAAAAATATTTAAATAACACTATTGTTTTTTGGAAGTGCTCACCTTGCCAATTGCATTTCTTACCAGCAGGGCAATTAAACTCGGATATGCCGTTGGGGAAACTTCCCGGATTGGAAAGAAGTGGCCACCATTTGCCAGTTAGATGGACTGTGTGTCGATCGATAGGATGTGGTAAACAGAACCCTGTCATGAACCACTTTTTGTTTTTTTTTGGGGTACGTGTTTTGCATTTTGTTAAATAGCCTCCAAATAATGAGAACTTCACATTTTTTTTTGGGATGGTCTACCTGAGTCACTGGCTTTGCCACAGAAGCCAACAGCCAGTTGGCGACAAGCCCATGCCATCTGTGGCCATCTGTGGCCATCTGTGGCCGATTTCAGGTACATCAAACGGGAGAATCCTGCGAAGGACTCTCCCAGCTATGTGAACCGATTGCTTGCAGCTCTCTTTTTGGAGGCAGGTGACGATGGTGACGATGGAGAGATGATCCCAGTAGCATCGGAGATTGACCCAGGAAAAATCAAAGCATTTCCAAAAGGAACAAACCGTTGTGATTTACCCAGCCAACACAGATTCACCCAGCATATGCAACATTAAATAAATAAATAAATCAATCATCATAAATGCGGGTCTGACAGTTAACAGGTGCATCATCAACGTGAACAAAGTCTTTGATCAGCAAGTCTCACAGACGTGTCCTCGAAATTTCTCATTGTTTCTGTTCGGGTTGCAGGAAATCCCCACGAACTCCGAACTCCCCACGACAGAAACTGGGTAGCTTCCTATAAAACAACTTGCTGTAGCTGGGTTTCTGCCTTGGCAAAGTCTCCATGCTGTCCCCATTCTTTGAATCAATTCGCATTTTCATTAGGTAAATCCACCAGTCGTCCCAAGTCGTTTTGCCACCTGAGGACATGGCCTTCGCACGATTGCAGATCTTACCCAAGGAGCCACTGAAGATGCGCTGTGGGAATCAGCACCTTGGATCTAAAAATTCGGTGATTTGCCAACCAAGCCGTTGGGGGATTTACAGATTTACCGTACCGGCCGCATCCGGCCGCCACGGAAGTCTGAAAACAGCAGCCACGGAGTTTTGTATATCAAACTATGGGATTTCCCTATATTTTGGGTTAATTGTCATAAGTTGCCCCATTGGGCCCAGAAGACTTGACTAACGATCATTGGAATCAAACCCAGAAAAAACACATGAACATGTGTTTCCAGCTTTTGACCTCCTATGTTGGATGAGATGTGAAAAAAATCGATCGGACTTGCATGGGTTCATGGTGATAATGGAGGCAAAAAAGCGTCCAGAGTTCATCAATCTTGGCAGCCATGTCAAGTCGAAGGAATTTGCTGAACTCGGTAATTAAACCGGCAAACCGTTTGAGGTAAATGGTACAGGCTAATGAATGAGTCATTGATGGGCAACTTTGATCGAGAAACTACTACTGTCCTTCTGTTTTTGTTCTGAATTGAACGCAACCCATGTAGATGGGATGTTTTAATCCAAGAATCTTACAACTTGAACGGAAGCACGATGCAAACACATGGAAATGAACAATGCAACTTGGAGGGGCAAATACGACAAATGCAGAAACCACGGACAAATAAAATGCACTTTACAAAGCAGCTTTCTCGGTCTTCCAATTTCTTTGCATGTCTTAGTTTGTTTCGTATTTGGCAGTGTGTCAAAACCTTGTACCCCTGGTGAACATCAAAATAGCTGGGAAATGGATGTTCATCCCACTAAAAATGGTATTAATAGGTATTGATCCATACCCATTTAGATTCATAAAAACAGTGTTTTTTCTCTGGGGAGGGGATTTACTGGGGGATCTTGCTGGTTATCCAAAGGCCCTCTAGGGCTACAAGGCGCCTATGAAGCGGTGAATTTCCATGTTCCACACAGTAAAGCTGTAGGCTTTTATGTGATGACTAGGATCAGGTGGCTCATACCTATGGACATCTATGGACCTGATATCTATATAATTCTATATATAGTAACCCCAAAGAAGAGATATTATAGGAAAGTTTAATTTAAATAAGATCATGGTAAATTGGACCTGTTCTAATTTTTAAGTTGTCACGCCACCAGAAATCCTCAGTTCCATTGGCATCGGTGACAGATCTAGCCAAAAAAAACTGCATCCTGGACACAATGACAACATTCCGATATGTGCATTGATTGCACCCCCTAAATTTACATGGACCCCAAAAAATCGATTTGGACGATGATGTTCCTCAGATCGTTCAGCATTTTTCACGTCTGTCTCAATGACCCGAGCCCCGAAAAGAAAAACATCAGATGCCCTTGGGCCCACCAGAAGGTGCTCAACGCTATTGAGAACCGCTTCCGCAGAAGATTATGAGAATGATAATTATGATGTTTCAATTGAAGGCTAAGAGGTTCCATGTTGCTTCTCAGCTGTGTATCTCAGGTTGTGTGTCAACCTCTCGCACATCTCCTTGCCTTGATCAGAGCTGTTAACCCTCGAAGCTCCATGTCAGCACCAGAGGTCTTCAACTGTACTTGGAAAGATTCCCAAATGCATACCCCTCAGAAAAAAGTGCACCAAGAACCATGACTTGCCCGTGAGAATCTGGTGGTTTAGACTGAACCTGACCTGCTTGCTGCTTTCAATTTTTCAAAGAAATACCTCTAGAAATGGGGGAATGATCCCCAATGACCCTATTGTTCCGGGGGGTTGAAACCACCAGAGGTGTTTTGTTGATGAGGGTCGCCCATCATGCTCGACCGCATCACCATCACCAATCTGGAGCACCGGAAAACGAACGTGACGCGATGCGATGGACGTTGAGGAGAAAAGAAGGACTTGGTGCTGGTGCAATGGAATCGAACAGATCGAACATAGTCGTTTCTTAGATGGGCCACACAGTTGGTGGTTTCCCAGATCCGTTTGTTGAGCAGCCAACAGTTTGGATGCCCCGTATGGCGCATGATTTTCAATGAAATCGAAGCCACTGACTGCAGCTTCTGTCCCTGAAAAACAGGGCTAATCATGGCCTTGGCATGCCTTGGCCGACAAAGTCGTGGCCCAGCGTGACCAAAGGAGTCTACTGATCGGGACCAATTGAGTCCCTCTAGACCCTCAATGTGCCCATACAAATGAACAAGAATGACTAAGAATGTGGTGCATATAGTCATATAGTGTGCCAATTTTTATGGGATCTGAGGGTCTAGGTACTGGCGTGTTTGAAGTTTCCAGCTGTCTTTTTTGACGGCAAAAACGGCAGAGGAAACATTGACACTCGTCTCTCTGCAAAATTGGATACCCCTTAGACATCCTTAAAAAATCTTAAAAAGCACTGGCTTAAGCTTATGGCTTAAGCAAACTATTCTCGTTGTTTTGAACATGAGCATCAGAAGCTGGTCTGGTGTCAGTAATCAGGATATCAAAACCCATTAGCACAGCAGTTACAGGTGCACAGCTTCGGTAATTCAGCTGTTTTTGCATGGTTTTGGCCTGGATTGAGTAGGTATAGCCTATTTTTCAGCGGCACAGCATCTCAGGCGATTCCACGGTGCATTGCGCACGTACCCATGTTCTTGGAACATCAATAGGTACTGTATGAAGTAGGAATTTGCCTGAACTTTTCTGGTGATTCAATCTGTCTGATATTTTTCATAGTTCTCGTAGTTTAGTTGTGTTTGACTAAGAGCCAGAGTTTTCTAGGGTCGAAGATTTGAACACTCTGATATTATAATTAGACTAATTAGACATTCCAAATCCGATGGAAACGGGAAACGAAGTGTCCAACGTCTGCTTATCTTGGGCTCAGGGGTGGGTGGGGTGCTGACAGTTTGCCCATCGCTGTCAGCAGGGATGAAAGTTCCGCCCGGGGCCCTGGTTCGCGGCCTGAAATGGAAACGAGACTTTTCCATTTCATGCCATTTCTACGTTATTATTTTCCACTATACAACATCTATATAAATCTATAGCATAAACAGATCTGGTAGACTGGTAGACAACTATTTTCCATCTATTTTCCATCATAGCTGCGTTTTCCAATATACGTATAGGTATAGTTTTTTGATAGATATTCCACCATATTCCACCATATTCCACCATATTCCACCATATTATCTGGTTGGTGGTTTGGATCATTTTATTTTTTCCATTATATGGGCATGTCATCATCCCAACTGACTTTCACTCCATCATTTTTTCCGAGGGGTCAACCACCAGCACCAAATGACAGCGGTTCCTCCAAAGGTGACCGCGGCGCTTTACGACGGTCACCGCCACGGCGGCCCGGTCGTCCGCGATGTCCGGAAGCCCGGGACCAGGGTAACCGAACACAAGCGATACAAGAAATGGGGATTTCAGTGAGAAAAAATGGTGGTTTAATCATCAGCAAATGGGGAAAAAATGGTGGTTTAATCATCAGCAAATGGGGATTTTCATGGAAAAATGGGACGCATCTGCAGTGATTTGTCTTGATGTTTTGACCGGGTGTGACCCAATTTCCAGCCAAATTTGTGGTGACAGCCGCCTGACGCCTTATCCAACATGTGGCCCCCTGTCGCCTGGTGAATGTTTCCAAAGCCAGGAAACCCCAAATCCAGCATTCGGTCCCAAAAGTTGTCATAACATATGGCTGTTCCCTAGAATGGAAGTACCCCAAAATGGATGATTTAGAATGGAACATCATATGAACATGCATGATTTGGGAGTAATTACCCCTATTTAAAAAAAAAAACACCATATGAGAAACCAATCTCTTCTTGGGACTTAAGTCTCAAGCCAGGTTCGATGCTTACCCTCGACAGAGGACCGCAAAAAGCCTAGATCTGTCCTGGAAATCCTAAAGATGGTCTACAGTGGAAGTAAATTCAGGATACCCTGCCGTTAAGTAGGTCAATTAAGCATGCATTTTGGGATAGTGATCACGAATGATGGGTACCCTGGAGTTCTTACAGTTCATGTTTTACAAGGATTGGACCAACATATGCAATTTTAAAAAGATCATGCAAAACACAAATTATCCAGAAACGTTTCTTCTTGCCCTGGCTCTGACCCTTCCCCATTCAATTTCGGAATCGTGGGGCAACAATATCTAATGTACGCAACACTGCTCGCTTGTTGGACTGGGTCTCCATGAGCCGTCGAGCCTTCGTGTGATCCAAACACCGTGTGACTATCCCCGTGGCAATTTCCACTCTAGAACTGGTGAACCTGTGCATAGTTTAAACGAAATTCTTAATGTATTGGAATTTTAAAATTGATGTCAGGCTAGTCATTTTATTGTTGGGGGGTTGGGCTAAGCATTTTATTGTAAAGGTAAATCCTGATGATTTTTAACATGTTAAAATTCCATTCTCATTTTATTGCAAAAAAAATGTTTGCTTGGAGCATTTTATTGCAGAATGGAACCAGTGTTTTTCCAGGATCTATATGTCATTTTAGATCAGCGAATTTTAAGGAATTTTAAGGAATACTAAGGAATTTTAAAGGAATTATAAGGAATATTAAGGAAATTTAAAGGAATTATAAGGAAATTTAAGGAATTTAGAGAGTTTTAAGGAATTTTAAGGAACCTTAGAGGATTTTTAAGGAATTTAAAGGAATTTGACGGAATATGAACGAATTCGGAGGATTTTTAAGGATCTTTAATGTTTTTAAATTTTAAAGGATATTTAAGGTTTTTTAAGTTTTTTTTTGGAATTTTAAGGAATTTAAAGGATTTTTAAGTAATTTTAAGGAATTGCCACGAAAGAATGCCACCGTATTTTGTTGCTATAGAATGCTATTAAAAAAAACACACTAAATATTTGGGCACCTTCACTCTAAAATACCCCTATCTAAAATGGATTTCCTGACCTCTTTTTCAAGATGCGTTTCTGAGGGTCTTCAAAATTGGATGAAATTGGATGATGTTGGATGCACATTCAAGCATGAATTTGGTGGCAAGGCATTTTATTGCAGAGCCAGTTTTCATTGTTTTTGTGCATTTTAAAGCCTGAGGCCTATGCACAAAAGTTAGACCGCTCTAAAACTCCTGCACAACTTCACATAATGAATTGGCACCCCGATGTGTGACTACTTATAGTTCTATGGAAGGCCATACATATCTGCATGTCGCATGCTCCAAACATGGTACAAAAAGGATATGGTCATCCTAGCATCATATCATATCATATCCATCATTAGGAAGTCCCAATATTGGGAATATTAACCCTTACTAATGGGGAGCTTATCACCCCGTTGTATGATTTGTATGGGAAACTCAACCATCGACGAGGGGCGAGGGCGGATCTGAAGTATCCACACTAGTCCCAAGCGGTGGCGGGTACCTGTTTGAGTTCAGACAAAGAAAGTGGTTCTAACAGGCATTGAATTACTGCTTGGTGGTTTGGAACATGAATTTTATGACTTTCCAATACTTTCCATATATTGGGCATGTCATCATCCCAACTGACGCACTCCATCATTTTTAAGAGGGGTAGGTCAACCACCAACCAGTAATTGTCAGTCTCCCCTTCAGTTTTGTCGCTGCAGCTTCCTTTTTACCTTCATCAGTTTGGAATATGCGTTGTTTCAACGTGCTTGTGGTGATGCCGAAAATAACCATCTTTTGACCATGGCCCATTAATTGTTGTTTATTTTAAAATCCCAGGATCTCCTCATCAAAAAATATCCCAAAATTATCCCAAAATACATCACACTAATGAAACATCCCATCATTTTTCCATATTTTCCTATGATGTCCCATTATATAATTTGATCCATATTTACCATACGGTAATCCTGCACAGATCTCCAGGATTAGTTATTCAAAGGTGGCCCTCCCCCTGAGTCGCTGGGGAACTCAGCAGGAAATGGGATAGGTATGATAGGACTCACTAACACTTGGAACGTTTAGTTGGCTGCAACAATCATCATCATCGTCGTCGTCGTCGTCGTCGTTAAGCAAGTAAGTAAGTGAGTGAGTGAGTGAGTAAAGGGTGGATTTTCGGATCATCCACTTCTACACGTCGTTCATCCACTTACCTTGAGGGATATACAATGGGCATCCCAACGGATTGCCGTTGCCCGATATGGGTTTGCCCAAAAAATCTGGGTATAATATGTATATTAATATATAATGGCAATCTAAATGGGGACAATTATGATCAATTGTGAGACTTTAGAGTACCCTGGTTTCACACAAACCCACACAAACAACTCTAGAGAAATTATCATCATCTCACTGGTCGGCGTCATCACAGATGGGTATGAAAGGGAGCAGCCTCATAATGGCCAAATTTCAGTTTGGTGAATTGGAATGAATGAATGATCATAGCCGTGATTTCCCGCACAATCTTCTGACATTTATGTCTCTTGGGCCGTTTGCTGCGATGATTTGTCAAGTTGGTGTTTTTTAAAGGCACCGGCATATCATCGATTCACAACCTGTCCCGGTTCTCTTTTTTGTTGATATACCAAAACCAGTATCTTTTGCTAATGGGATTTTGGGGTAAACCGGAAAACCCAATGATATCCCAATGATAAATCATCCCCATATAATCCCATAGTGTTTTGTAAACAACTTAACCAAACTAATGTCAGCATTTGAGAGTTGTGACAACCACATCAATTTAGCTAAGGTATGATCAAAATCTGTTCTGTACCTAGAATCATTAGAACTGGTTTAAGACATGTTGAACACCAATTGTTGCAGCGATTTTGAGGATATCCATGGATATCCCCATGTTTTTTACTGTTTTCCGATGTTTTCCCCCTCTTTTTTGTTGTTGGACATTTTTTCACGGGTCCCTGCCGGACCGCGGCCGGCAGTTGTGGCTCTCCTGTGCTTGGTGCTGTACGCGGTCTTCGAATCTGGGGAGGATGCCAGGCCCTGGAGCTCAGAGGAAACAGGTGGATGGTTGCGAAATCCTGCAGCTGATAGGTGGTAAACATCCCACTTTTTGAGGTTTCAACATGTTTCAACCATCCTGAAATGATGGTGGATTTTGCAACCACAGTATTTCTACTTGGGTGATGCATCACTTAGATCGAAGATGGAGTCGTGGAGTCCTGTTTTCAAAAATGCAGTGACATTGTTTTCCTGCACCTTGGCGCTAGGTGTGCGATCGTGTGACGCTAGAATGCGATAGATACTTTATATGACTTTATGATACTTTTACAGAGCCAAGTGAAATATTGTCAGGCCGGATGCTTTCTCTGCCTCTTGCTCTCTTGCAACTGTTGTTCCCGGTCCTGCTTGGGCAACTCCACAGTAGCCTTACTTTTCAAACCTTTTTGAACTGCATTGCCGCTTCTTTTTGGCGAGCAACACAAAAGTGACCTGTGAAGATATGTGAAAACAGTTGCTTTTCAAGTTTTCACGGCTAGGCTAAAGTTTAGCTGGCGTTAGATCTGCAGTAGATCCGCGCTAGATAAACACCCCAAGAATACGCAGTTGCCCAGTGGTAAGCTCGCTGTACTTGAAAATCCAAGAGCACTGTTTGCTCCAAATACAGTAATGTGACAGACAGCCGGTAGCAGCAACTGGGACATGGGCCGAGCCTGCTGATCGTTTTTTCAATAGCTCCAGCAGCTGCAGCTCCAGCTGCTTCAACAGCTCCAGCTAGAGCCGCGCTCCGGCGTTTGCAAGATTTTGATTGAAATTGATGATCTACAGTAGTCTACAACTTTCTTCCCTGTCTGACGTTGTTGGAACGAACTTTATACAGAGGCGGAGTCCAAATCCAGGAGAAATTAGAGAAGATGCCATTGAATAATCGCAGTATAATACCAATGATAATAGTAATGTAACAATGACAACAATAATAATGTAATGTAGTTTTATTAGAGTGATTAATACAGTACCTTTTGAGTAGGACCGTTTCATTCCTTGACTTTGAAAAACATATGGATTTGGCTGGATTTTAGAATGCAAAGAATGGGAGGGCAGGGGAATGGCAGGTGTTTCAGTCTGATTTTGGTACTGAATGGTTCACCGCTGTAAAACAGGGATGTAATACTGAAAGTAGTCCCCTTGGTCACTGCATGTTATCACCAAGCACGGGGCGTATAGAATCGAATACTTTAAGATAGACACATTTGATATACGTATATATATATGTAATATAATATAGCATGATATTATATAATATAGTTTACTAGAACAGAATAGAGTAGAATATAATATGATAAAACACAATACAATATACTATAATACATTATATTATGATATATTATCATGTAGTATAGTTTAAGTCAATATGATATGATATATCATATATATATACATTACTATAAAATCTGGTAAATGGGTAACCACACATCCATGGATCAGTCAGGCCAGACTCCGAGGATCCAAACATGAAACGCATGAGGCGAGGATCCTTTCAGGGAACCGGGTATTTACCATGAAACAATATCTTCCCTTTAATATAGTTCCCATCTTACACCTATAACATGATTATTTTTAGACATTTAAATATAGTCTGATATTTTTTTCCGGAGGGAAAACGATGGTCAACTTGATCAAATTTAAGTGGATAATGTGGTAATGAACGGTAAGGGTTTTCCATTCGGAAAATGATCATGGAATCCATGGTGGGTAAGCTCCACATCGAACTGGCAATGTTTACCAGAGGGTAGGGTCTGGAAGATGGCTTTCGCTTTTGGAATCCATTTTTCTTTTGACATCAAACAGTTTGAAATGCGATTTGGAACATCAATTTGTTGTGAAGTATTTGAGATTTTGGATGGGGAATTCAGCTGTGTATAAACGTATGTAAATGTTCAATGGGGGTTTGTACCCTCCAGAACAGAAAATAGACTCCCCAAAGACATGGATTTGGAAGGTGATTTTCATTTTGGATGTGGTTTATCGCTGCTGTAGATAGATGCCTATACAATCCTATATATATATACATTTACATAATTACATACATACATATATGCGTGACCGACAAAATTAGCGGAAAACTAAAGTAGTAGGGAGTGGACTTGGGATGTTCAAATCTGTGTTAAAACTTTCACAACCAAGAGGGGACCAACCCACTTTGGCCATGTCCATTGCGAGTAAAAAGTAATTTTGTCCGCAACTCATGTGTATATATATAATTATCTAGATAATTATATCTATATATCGATAGATATATGTGTATGTATATACATACATATATGAAAGCCATTGGTAGCACCCTTATTCAGCAACTCTAGCGGACCATGTACTTTAGCCAGCACGGGTATTGTCCTTGGTTCATTTGTAGTTACTAGAAGGGTCGTTGGATACTGCACGTTGAACATGGTCACATCAACTTGACATGGTGAGATGATATACATCAATGGTTGTGTAAACCTGCTTGGTGGTTTAGATCCCTGCATCCCCTGTCAATGTGAGCCTACAGAATGCCTACCCTTTGTCCCTATGAAATGCATTTTTTTGTGCCTTTTTGAAGCCATTCAATAGAGGGCTAAATGCTCAAAGATGTTTGTATCTATTTTTGGGGCACATGCTTGGTGAGTCTAATGTCTAGGTTCTCATTTCATAATTTTCATAGAGGATTAAAAACTGATTAGGAATGGTTAGGAAATAAGGCTTCGACGTACATTATATAGTGAAATAAGGGGGTCATTTCATAGGGGAGTACAATCAGTTGTAAGGCCTTCACAAGGAGCGAGAAGTTAAATGGTTGGCATCCCATTAATCATTCCTATCACAAAAAAGTACGCCAAACCCAGGGAGAAATTTATAAACCACCCAATGATAACGTATTCCAACCTTTGTTATACGTTTTATAGAGAAATATGTTTGGTTATGCATTCTATATTAGCTATTTTCTCTATAACGCGTTTGCCAAATACTGCGGGTACGGTTGACAGGGTTCGAGAATTCAAAGTTTACTGTTGTTTGATTGCATCGAACACACAGCTGCAGTCTGGAAAATGCTAATCAAACGACGTACGTGAACGGTCCTTCTTTGTACAGACCCTCCAAGTACCGGCGAGAGAGCATCCAGACAAAAAGTCACACATGTCCATACGTCGCCATACGTTTTCGGAAAAAGAAGTGCTTTCCGAGTTGGTCAATATCGGTGGTACATCTCCATGTCCAATTTCCGGCCATCTCTCACTCTCCCAAAACACAGACCTGAGCGCCACTGTCCCCGGGATGGGGAAGGCCCTTCTTGTCTTCCCAAAGCTTTGAGATCGGTCTCTGGACTCGACAAAAAGGCGAGGTCAGGGCCCAGGGCGGTGTTCCGTGGGGGGAAAAAGCAACAACCTCAGCGGTTTGTGAGGCCCGGTGGATATGTTTAGGGTTCAGTTGGGTGATCAGCCATGACTGGGCCCCGCTAATAAACAGCCTCAATAGCTGCGTCCTACGCGTTTTCATGCCCTACACTGCACCCTACACCAGGATTTCTGGGGTTGAATATTAGGGGAATGGGATCCAGCTGAACATTGGTTTTCATTGCTACTGGTAGGTATCAAAGGTCAGTGCCCATTGGAGCCAACGAGGACCCCAGGTTAGTCCACGATCAACCTATCAAACCTACCATAACATACCTGGGAGGCCCCACCGTGACGGAAGTACCAAATTTTACATCACCATTTTGTTGATCAATTCAATTCGTTGTAACTTTTGGACCAGATAGTTGGTTAATACAATATTTTTGGTATTGAAATCGGTCAGTTTCAGGGCAGCACCAGACATATTAGACATTTTTATCAATTCCCCTTTGGTCCAAGCATGTCCCCAAAAAATATGAACCACGTCGGTACCAGGCTCAAGTGCTTCCCCATCGTCCGGAGACCAAGGTGATGGCGAGGTAAGGTCCCCGGTAGGTTTTCTGTAGTGAGCTAAGCATCAAAAGCTAAGCTTAGCAATGGACATATCATGGAAAATCATGGCATATCATGGCTATGAGTTTGGTGGATTTACTTTTAAAAATACAATCCGTACAATGTCCATCTTGCATTGACCTGGCCATGACTTGTTTGGTGTGTGTGTTGATATGTTTGAAATTCTGATGGAGTATGAGGAGTTCCCATCATGCTGGAAATTCAAAAGAATGATCTCTCTCCAAATATTAAGCACCCCCCCAGGAACCATGGTTGTAGATGGTTGTAGGGGATGAAAGCACATAATTATTTGGGACAGCGTTTTTTTTGGGTGTTTCCTATCTACCATTGGCATCCATTGGCCATGTTGAAGGATGTCAGCGGTCCAACCTATTGGTAGGTTGAAGTTCCAAGATTTCCAAGGCTCCAGAAAGATCTACAGGGCTCCAGTATCGATCTCTCAACCTGGGAACTGCTGAGTAGGCCGAGTATGATGACCTGGCACTGCAGTTAAGTGACGCAAAAAATTTGGCCAGCATTTTCGGTTTGCCATGTTAGTCTGTTGAAGATTGGTCCCACTTTGTGAGATGTTGATGGGATACCCTCACAAACAAACCTGTGCCGGACAAATCCTCGTAGATAGTTTAAAGTACATTACATGTTAAATATGTCAAGGTTACCACGTGAAAGGCCATATTTTCGATTTTAGTAAACCCAATGATCAACCATCCCATGAAAACATCCATGAAAACCACGAGGGTGAATCCCACATATCCCCGATATATTTGTGATGTCTCAAAATGGGGTATACCCGGTATACCCCAAAAAATAGCCATTGAGTAGGGATAATGATCATTAACCATTGGGTGTAGGGGTACACGATTTTCAGACAAACCCATATATGTGTGATCCAAAAGCCATCTGTCGGTCGAATGCCTAGGTCCGCATCTGTACGATCATCCTCTCCTGTGCCTCAGCGAAATTGGGTCTACCACAAAACATATGTGGATTTCTACCACCAATGGAAAATGGCCCATAGAAATAGATGGTTTACCGAACTTAATAGCATGGTGATTTTCCATGGCTATGTTATAACCAGATGGCAAACTATATTATAGTGATTTAATGAGGATATGATATGGGATATTTGATTGGAACATACAATATATTAAATTATTAGACTTGATATGATATCTGGGTGTGTCTGAGAATGGGTATGCCCCAAAAGTGGCCATTTTATCAGATGATGACAAAGCAGTGGATTTGGGGATACCTATATTCAGACAAGCTTTGGAATTGGTCATGGATCGAAATTGGATATGTACAACCATAGATCATGTTTGCAACCAGTCATCTGTAAAACACACCATGGCTATTTTTCGCATCTATGGTTGTGGCCCACACCAAAAAAACCATATCGACATGGTTTTGTCGGACAAAGTATGTATCGAATGTGCTGGTGTTTGACCTTGGATGTCGAGCAAAGCAGCACCAACCACCAGAACTACTGGTGATGTTTTGATTACGACTCCCGGCGCTGTTTTCTCTTCATGTCATTGACGCCATCATTATACGTATAATTCCTGATATATATATAGGTATTATGTATATATATAGGTATTATATATATATAAAATGATCACAATCACCATCACTCCCATGAATCACTGCTATCATCGGAAACCCCATCAGAGTCCAGCATGACGAGCAAGAAGTGTGAAGCATGGTCACTATCATAACTGTGATCATGGACCCCTTTTTCTTGTGTTTGCACTTTGTTCCATCCCACGTCTATTCTTCTTCAGAACTGTTTGCTTGGTGGTTTTGGATACTCCAAACCATGCATTCCAATTTAGGCAACACTTGAGATGATAAAAACAAGCCGACGAATATGTTTCGAATGGTTGGCTTCAGCTGCGAGATCAAAGTTGTTAAGACACTAATTCTTGTTGGTGATCTGCCATGGTATTTCTTTTCTGTTCAGTGGACTATGCTCCACCAATCAGACGTCCATATGGGTATGGATCAATACCTATTAATACCATTTTTAGTGGGATGAACATCCATTTACCAGCTATTTTGATGTTCACCAGGGGTACAAGGTTTTGACCCACTGCCATATGATATTGGCAATGGTCAAAACGACCTCCAGCGCAGATTTTTCTTTTCACTTGGGGGGAAATCTCACCCTTCACCCTTCAATGTTGGTCAAATCCCCACCCAAAATGCAAACACTGCCTGGATGTGTTATGGGTTCACGACATGAATTTCGTCGGTACATCAGGAGTCCATCAGGGTAAACGGGTGGGTGGGGTAGCTTCATTCGGATTCAGTTGCTATTGTTTGACCATTTTGCTGGAAACTAAAAAATCATATCACATCCACTTCATTTAAAATTAAACGGGGACTAATACTGTATTTCATATCACATGAACTTTCTTGCATGTCATCCAAGATACACAAGCCCCCATATTCGTTACTTAGTTAAATCCCCAGTCTTATTGGCTGCATCCCCCAGTCGCCACTGATCCGCAGGAAGTCGAAGAGCTACGGCAGGAGTTGGAAAAGGCGCGCGTGAGGAGCGCGGAGATTTGCGGAGATTTCTGGATGGTGAATGGTAGAGCAAAATGCATATGTGAACAAGAACATACAAACAAAAACAAGCATATGGGGGTGTCCATAAACGGGGATACCCCACAATGGATGGTTTATAATGGAAAATTTTATAAAAACGGATGACTTGGAGGTATTTCAGGAAACCACCATATGAACAGATACTGTAAAATCATATAAAATATACCCAAGTAAAGATGACGCCACCAAACATAGGTGTTGATTGTGTTCATGTAACAACCAACACATGTACTTGGTTGAACGGTTAAACCAAAAATTCTGGGTTAACACATTACTATATATACATAGAGAGAGAGAGAGTTAACGAAAATTGGGGGGTTGACCGCACATAGATGAAGATGTAGCAATAGTGGTCTATATTTCCTGTGTATCTACCCTCTTGGAGGTTGCACATCACCTGGGTAGTTGGATCTGCCTGAAGTATGCGAAAAAAAAACAGCAGTCACTGAAAAAAAATGCGACTTGCGACTTATCTTAATCAACTCTTTGCCAAGCCAGCCATGGGCAATTACGAAATCAAATCACTAGTTTGTATATGTGAAGTTATGTATATAATTTTCTGCGGAGGATTTTCCAAGCCAATGTTCTGCAGCGGTTACTGTGTACTCTGGTGATTAAACATGGCAATGTTTGGAAAGTCTTAGTTTTAAATAGGATCTTAATGGGAAAATCATCTATACATGGAGGATTTTCCATTGCCATGTTTGATTACCGGAGAGTATACGATGTAGGGGAGACTTCTTTAATCTTCTTGACTTCTCACATCTAGCAAATAAAAGTCGTCGCTCATATGGAGTTGCAACCATTCAAGATTCCATCTTCACAGATATTGTTTGCAAATCTTGCCCTGGCAACCAGGCTGCAATGTTCACCAACCAAATTGTTGATTATATTTGCTTTGGGCCCCGGCCAATACCCAGACCGTATCGTACATGCGCAATATCTTGCACAACATACGTACGTATGTATATGTGTAATATTCATATAGATATTCATATGATATATTACAGTAACATAATATAATATATATATATACTGTATATATATATACTATACTATATATATTGTTATATGTTCATGGTTGTTTAGGACAGGTAAATTCACAATCCTTGCTTGTTGCAGATTGTCATTTCTCTTGGTCGAATCTCCATTTTCGCTTGTCAGCTCCCATTTCTCTGGCAAAATCCAGGAGTTGTAAGGTGACAATTCATAGAAATCCCCATTTTCGCGAGAGAAGTCCCCATAAAATGGCTTTATATCATTGTATCCCAATTATAATTCAACACCAAGCAACATGTTCCTAAGAGTTCCAATTAATTATAATGTCAGAATATACATATGGGTATGGGCCAAAATTAGGTACCCCATCCAAATTGGATGGTTAATACTAAACTAGACATCTAACATCTGTGGTCCCATATATAGGTCTTCCATTTTGACCCACATCCATATATATAATTAATATGATATGTATAGTATATTCACCCATAAATATATAAAACTATAACATATCCATAATTATTTTGTCAGAATATACTATCCATGAAAGACCTCACATCCATTATATATTTATATATTTGATCTATATCTATGCTGAAATCCGTAGAACTCCCCAGGAGTGAGGAACGGGCTGCGGAGCTGTCGAGGCTGCGAGGATCGATGAGTTTCTGGGCGAAACGAGATCAACGGTTGGGAGGTGCTTAACCCTCGTTCTTTCATGGGTGAATATTAATAATGTAAGGTAAATGTATGGTGAATAACTAATATGATGAATAACTAATGGTGAAACATATAGATAATAGTTATTCACAACGATTTGAATACTGGTGAAACATTGATAATGTAAGGTGAATAAGTCATGGTGAATCAGGAAAATAATGGTGAATCGATTTATGTCATGATAGTGGATAAGTAATTGGGAAATAATGGTTAAGAATATCACAATGGTGAATCATTTTTCTAATGCATACCTTTCATGGAATACTTTCCATGGGCAATAAACCCTCTGGTTTACCCAAAAAACGTGGGAAAGCTGGGAAATCCCGGAGATTTTATGTGTACCCCGAGGGGGTTCTCAAACGTGGCTGGATGATTTCCCTAGCTTGGCACGATGGGCGATCGAGTTTTTTAGGGACATTGATATGAGACGGTCTACTGTAGCATAAATATATTACATAATAGTATGTATATACAATTATATACATATATATATATACATATTAATTATTAATCAATTATACATTATACACATGTTGTTCTTCCTCGGCTCAATCATCATTGTCCCTATCAAGAATCAGAGGAGTCCATGATATGGTGAGAGAATTTCTATGTATTCTTTGTATATATCATTATATATTCGTATACTGTAATGGGGATTCGTATGTGGGATATGATACGGCATAAACCATCAAAATATGATTCGGTGTGTCTGGAACAATGATGATTAACCATTGGAATTGGAGACAAACCCAATCAGCATGGTGAGTTTGACCGGCAATGGACAGTTGGAGAGTGTTGGTTTATGCCTCGCTGAGGAGATATAACCTTTCCAAGGGAGGATACAAACCATACATGATGCTTGTTTGATGCTTAGTGTTGGGATCATACTAAGCGGTTTGATGATGTTTGACGGGTATTGTGGTCATATTCCATACGAGCATACGGTATACGAACCCAGAGAAGAGGATTCGCAGAGAGTTGTGGGCGCTGCTCGCATGTGGTTGCCAAAGCCATATTTAGCCCTGAAAGAGACTTAGTAGCTGCCCATTTTGACGGAGAATGGATTTGCACTTCCGTCAAAGCCAGTTTCTTTCTGACTTTCAAACCATTTTGATCCATGTTTCTTCCATCTGTGGTCCGTGTTTCACCCATTTCTGATCCATGCTTAAGGATGGTCAAGTCATTGAAACTTGGGCACTACGCCATCTGGTGGATCGAGGTGAAAAAACGGCCAACCGGACATCGTTTCGGAATGTTGAGGGTTCCTGATTTTGGTCCGTTTACACTAAAACCATGTTCTATCCATAGATGCCCAGGTGCAGGGAGCAAGGCAGGGGGGATTCCCTGGATGGCCCCCTTGGGATTTGAAAAGCAACTGAGTGTAACTGGACTGCGGATATGGTATGATCACGAATTCGATGAGTTTGTTACAGTTTGTTTGTTTTTGTCAAAAAGTTGGGGTTTTGTCATTGCCATTTTGTTTGACAACTAGTTAACTAGTGTACAGTGTACTGGGATGTACTGGGTATAGGCCATAAATCAATGCCTGGAACCGAAGAGTGGAAGAAGTTGATGTGCCTCATGGCGCATTACAATAGCATTTTGGGGTGTTTGAGCCGGCAAATAGCTCCAAAATACGAAGTCAGCAGTTGATTACTCAATCTCAACAAAATCATGGTTCCGCAGTTTTTTCCCCCCGCGCCAATGGTATCCTATACCGAAAGCCCAAAAGTACTTTCTTCGAGTGATCTTGACCAACTGACATCTATCTGACATAAATTCTGACATTCTATTTGATATTCAATCTATTTGGACATATATTCTGACACGTATTCAAACATTCTGGAAATTCTATTGTATCTGACATTTTCTTTGACATTCTATTTGGCATCAGACATTCTATTTGACATATATATATATATATATACAGATATATACAGTATATATATACACATATACATTCTGACATTCCCTCTGACTACTGTTACGCACAGACCCCGTGGGTTTTAGGGTTCGTCGTCTGGGAAATACCAAAACACTGGCCTGCGCAGGTTTTTGAGCATGTCGAAGGATCATATTTGAACACCATTCTAACCTTGCGGGCAAACCATAGGGCCATAGGCTCTTGCCGTACTATTCGAATCTGCGGGCTGGCAATGTGGGCAATGTGAGGCGAAGGTTGAGGATAGCGCGGAAGAGTTGGATCCATTGGGGATCCATTGGGCAATATTAAAATCCCATAAATGATGGTATTAAACCATATTAAACCATATTAAACCATGTTGACTCCACTGCACGGTGGAAGCACCAGTCGCCCAGGAGGATCTCGATGACGGCGAGGCGCCGACAAAGACGGCCCCAAAGTCCGCAGCGTCTCGGTGCTGCCGAGGTGTAGGGAGGTGGTGCATAGCTATGGAAAATCACCATTTTTTGATGGGAAAACTCACTATTAATGGGCCATTTTCAATAGCTATGTTAAATTACCAGAGGGTATATACTAAGATGATTACTAAACTATGCACGAACCAAAATATTCGCAAAACGTTCACCGTTGAAGTTGGAATCCTTCCACATTCATCACCAGCGCCTTGGCGCTGTACCTCAAGTGGCTCAAGTTGACAGATGTTGACAGTTGCTCATAAAGAATCAGCAACCAGATAGGTGGGTTGCGATCATCGTGGATTCCAATTCCAGTGTTATTCCAAAACAAAGTCGTCAACTTCTAAAAGGAAGATCAGCGTTCTCTCTCCAGCAAGCTGATATGAATATGGAAAAAGGATGAAAAAGGATCTACAAATTCGACAAATCGTGTTTTTCTTCATGTTTTTTTTTTTAAGGGTAGAGGTCCTGCAGGGTATCTACCATGGTTCCACTATTGTTCCATTGCTATGTTTGATCATCCCAGTACCCCCAAGTAGCCACTTAGAGAAACACCATGGGAGCCGGGGGCCCATCTTGATGGTTATACTATGTTATACTGAGGGTCATGTATATACATATTATATATACGGCTTATATACGTATATACAGATATATATATATATATAATCCTCCAAAACCCACTTTTTTTTGGGTTGCCAGAAAAAAAACATGTTTTTTCAAAATAATCTCTTTTTTTTTCGCAAGGCATTTGGTTACGGGAAATTACGGGTAACTTACGGGAAATTATGGGTAAATTACGGGCCAATTATGGGTAGAAATTTGGAAAACCAGGTTTTTCTAAAAATACCAGGTTTTTGCTTAAGATCTTGAAAAAAAAACATTGTTTGTTGATTTCAACCCCCAAAAAATGGGTTAAGGGTGCCATAGGATGTTATATCCCCAAATCTATACAAAAAAATAGTGGCAACGTTCAAAGTCCAGGATGCTTGATTGATGCTTATAGTATTATAGTTTATATATATATATATTCCATTACATACTACATCGCATATTACATATTATGTATCTCATACATTGATGATAATATCCCATATATATTTGATGTTTATACAAATTCTACATCTACATAGATTAGTTATTACAGGATATATATATATATACATACTTATATATATATAATTGTGATTTTCTATTATGATTAACGCGATATAATATGTTAATATATGTTACTAGCAATATATATATATATTTATGATTATATGGTTATCACCACATCTCAATATCCGCATATGATATCCCCATAGGCTCCACGATGTTTCTCCGAGTCGCCGAGGCTGAGATCCCCGAAAGCCTTTGGAGGGAACCTCCTTCGACGTCCAGCACAAGGGCACCACAGGAGGTCAGCACCCGGGAGGTACAGCACCGATTTTTTCAGAGAAAGCAACGTGGATTCAGATGACCAAATGCGCAGCACTACTTCACTATAGATTTGTTTAATGTAGCATTAACAGACTGGGCAATACCCTTCAAACAGACCTTCAAAATCCGCAGTATTCCTCCAGAAAAGCCCAACTTCCTGACAAGAGTCTCTTCAAAAATCTTGCAAACAAGACAAAGAAAAATGTTTCGGATTCTGTGGCGAAATGTTGCATCAATCAAACGTAAAAAATGAATAATATATTCAAACCCTGCATTTGGCCACAGTGTCATGCCCATATTATATATGTTTGAACTTCAAGGGCGTGCTGAGGCTAAGGTCACAATAGAGTGACCAAATACATGCGTATAAATTTGTATATGTGCGTGTATTTTCTTTAGCGCCATTCCCACTGAAAAGGTACTTTCCTGCTGTAGTGCTGCATCAAGTGATAATTTATGCAGTAAAAAAAGAGATGTCAAGAAAGGGGGAGGCAGCATATATATATACATACATTACATGGCATTGCATTGCATTACATTACATTACACTACATTACATTACATTACATACATGATATATTATATACACTATATTATACATTTATATACATATTAACGTATACATATATAAACTATATATATATATGTATACATATATAAACTGTAACTATTATAATGTCAAGGTAGGGGTAATTAATCCCTCCCGATTAATCAACCACCACTGCCCTTAAAAAAATGTAATTTAAAAACAGGTGGTCCCCCTGGATTAATAAACCGTTTGGCCTGGGATGATTAATCAACCACCAGTGCTGATTTTTTTTTAATCAAAAAAAGCAATTGGTTTCCTTTTGGTTTCCTTTTGCTATATTTAAGTTGAAACCGCGTGAACACCAGAACCCATCACTGCTGATCATTGAAAATTTGAAAAATCAACTACAGTCACCGACAGAATTATGGAAAAAAAAGTTTCAATTTACAGGCGCCGCCTGTCTATGATAGAAAAGTTACGAACCTTTTTTTTTTCCATAATTATTTTTTCCATAATTATTTTTTTTCCATAATTCTGTCGGTGACTGTATGTTCATCGATTCGCAATTTGAATGCATTTTAAGGGGGAATATTGAATTATAGAAAATATGTGTCTAAAGATCTGGTATATGCCCCTAAATTTTCCATTGATATACATAATATCATGTGATGTTCGCAATTTGAATGCATTTTAAGGGGGAATATTGAATTATTGAAAATATGTGTCTACATATGCGGGATGTTTCCTTTTGCCAACAGGTGGAGCCCCAAACATTAATTATGGAAAAAATAATCATGGAAAAAATAATTATGGAAAAAATAATTATGGAAAAAATAATTATGGAAAAACCGGTCAATCTGCCCTAGCCCCCTGATTTCACAGGAAAAATCAATTATGGAAATAATGGCCACCTCCAAGAATTATGGAAAAAAAAAGGTTCGGATCACATCCGGGATATTTTGAACCCTTATGGGGAAAAATCCAATTATGGAAAAATCGGACGCAGGCGCCGCCTGTCTAAGTTGAAAGTTTTTTTTTTCCATAATTCTGTCGGTGACCATATTCCCCAAATGATCGATTTCTAATTAACAAAATTCTTTATAAAAATCATCAGTTTGGATAGCTCCCAAAGGGTACCCCCCACGAGCCCATGTCCCCCATTAATAATAATCAGGCTTTGCCCCTTATTAATCAACCCCCATGTCCCTAATGTTTTTTCTTTGGATTTGCCCATTGATTCCCACTGTCCTCCATAGCTTTCAGCCAGTTTTCAAGCCATATCCAAAATTTTATGGTTCAGGGGCCGTTTATTTAGGGGGGATACAGGAAAGACCTTACAAGGTATATACCTACCTTGTGGGGGGGGGGCGGTTGATTAATCCTACGTTGACATTATATATTATTTGTATATTGTATAAAGAACGCGAACAACCAACAACTTATTGTTGGTGTTGTTGCTGTTGTTGTTTCACCCTAAACTGACGCAAAGTCCCCAAAACATGCACTAAAGAATTGCAAGCTGCAGGTCCGTGCCGTGGTCAGCGGAGATCATCCAGTATCATCCAGTTTAGAATCATGGTGACTTGGGGGATCCCCCAATTTTAGAACCCCCCATTTTGGAAACAGAAAACAGCACGCCCAAGCGTGGGCCCATTTAGGAGACCCCCAAGACAGAGAAGGAACCGAAGGAACCGAAGGAACCGAAGGAACCGGAAGCTGTGAAGGACCGAGATTGGATGAGGCCCATGGATTTTTTAATCGGCACATAAGCAAGAAACATTTGGGATGAAATTTGTTTTGAAGAAACATAATAAGAGGTAAAACTTGGTGTTGATGTGGTTAACTATGGTTAACTGGGATTTGTGATGGATATAGTATATGATATTATATGATATCTCAATTACATATCTACAGATTATATGGGCTACAAACAAGCAAATACTGTAACTAGGGGAACGAATAAAATCCGCACCAGTCGCACACACCGGCATCGTAACGGTGAAACCTGACCAAATGGGTTTTTATCACCCATATGCCAACACATTTTAAACGGATAAACTTTGATAAGCGGTTTTATCTACATAAATGTTGTCAACTATGAAACACATGTTTGTTCGTATTCATTAGTGTTTCTTTGTTCCGCCGCTTTGAAGTGGAACGCTGGATGACCCTCTAGCAAATCACAACTCTTGCCACCAAAACTCACTTGTTGTATTTATTTTTTCGATAGAAACCGGAGAACCAAAATCACCAAAAACGTCGAGCTTAGGCCAGTCGTGTTTTTTGAACATGATGTGATCTGTTTGATCATGCTAAGATGTGGAACTATTTGAAATTCTGAGAAGTCAAAAAGCACAGGGCTGCCCCATTGGGACGATCTTGCGTGGTTTGACCTGGCACAACGGCACAAGCTGGTGTTTCTGTGAGTTGAGTTGAGCCATTTGGGTCAGTCCATGGTGTGTATACCCCTGTCACAACCCTTAAATGATGATTTAAGGGCTAAAGAGTGATAAACCCTAGGACCCTAGGATTTGGAAGGCACACTACAGATAATATGGCACCTTTTTTGGACATTTTTGGGCCATTAATGGCACTGTTCAGCCAGCCAGGACAGCACCATCACGGTGAAGACTGGGGACAAAGAGATCAGCATTCAGATTGGTAAGGCGCGAAACTGCGAAGGAATGGCGAAGGGCAGCGTTTGTGAGGAATTTTGATGGAATTTTGGGATCCAAGTCTGGTCAAAGCATGTCAAGAGAGTCACCTACTTCAGTCTATCCATCACTATACTATTATACAAGTGGATGTACAAAATACGGACACTCCAACTCCAACTACTGCTCAAGGTGACCAGCATTGACCAGCCATTTTTTTTTCGTTTCTGCCAACAGGTTTTCACTCTTCCAATTCGTTCCCTAGGGGATGCTGAATTTGGGTCCCAGTCAGACCAGTATTTCTTTGAAATGAAACCAGCGGGTCCAGATAGCCATCCAGGAGCTATCCACAAGTTCCACCAGCTTGCAGATGAGAGGCGCGTTTTTTTGGGCATCACTTGATGTTATGCTAATAGCGTCTGGGGATGTACGGAAATCTACGGAAATGGGCTGTGACAGTCAGTTGTCATTTGATAAGACTTAAATATGCGAAAAACCACTAGGGTTTTTTCATCTTAAGACCCATTTGGCCATTTGGGTTTGTCTGAAAATAGGGTTAATCTTCCCAATGAAATAGCTATTTAAAAACGGGATAATGATCAGCAAAACCATTGGGAAAATGGGGTACACAACATTTTCAGACACACCCATTTGGCCATTTCGGTTCACTTAGACATGCGATGACATGCGTAGCTCGGATCGTCGGATCACGTTGACCTGGGCCCTCGAGGGCCCGAAAAAGGGATGATCTCGGTCTTCGAATGGTGAATAGTTGGTGACTTCATGAGAATGTTTATAGATGTTTATAGATGTTTATAGATGTTTATAGATGTTTAGTATCCCGGAAATTCCCAGCATTGCTTCATTTATCTTCATTTGCAGTGGTATCTATATATATAAGGCTTCTAAGGGTTAATCATGTCATGTCAATTTCGCAGCATGTTTGGACTATCAGCGGCTTCAGCTCAGCGATTTCAGGGGCGGATCAGATCGGAGATGGAGACAGTGCAAGGAACTCAGAATCCAAAGTGGGGGCCTATGCCGGCTATGCTTCTGGGTCAACCCTTTGGATATTTGGGTATGGGTCAATACCTATAGATACATTTTTAGTGGGATGAACATCCATTTACCAGCTATTTTGATGTTCACCAGGGGTACAAGGTTTTGACACACTGCCATTTAACAGTTTGCTATGGAAAATGGTCCATTTATTATAAATGAATTAAATGATTCGCGGCGATTTTTCATAGCCACGTTGAATACTCAGAAGGGCGCGTACGTTTTTGTCTTACTTCAGAGATTTCACGATGATGATTGGGTAGCGGTAAGGGGCTCACAGTGTCTGGAAACATGTCAGTGTCTTAAATGATTACCGTGCTCGATGTCTACAAGCATCGTTTTGCTTTCAAGGAGCATCTCCCTGATGGGGGTTCAAGTATTGAACCTATCCCACTTAATCACAACATTTCGGAGCTAGTTCTTGTACTTGTGAAGAGCTATTTGACTTGGAACTTTCCTATAGATACAGAAGTACAGTCATCCCCCGCAGTTCATGGGAGAAAACCAAATGGTTTCCTGCGAAAAATCAGCTTTGCCATTGAGACTTCTGATTGAAACTCTCGATTTGAATGAATTATATATATAGATCATCCAATTCAATAGAACTTTGACCCGATACCAGCATCAAACATGGGGGGTGAACATGATACATACAGCAGAGCGGTTCTACTGTTCTACCAAGAGAACAGCGGATTTTGCAAACAAAAGCATACATAGAACCAGCCAAAGAGGATTGTATGCTGTAGAACCAACAAACATATGCCTTTTGACTCTCCAACATGAATACGCATTATCATTAGCTGTGGTGTTTGCACCCCAAAAAAAACATTCGAACATGTTTGGGAATCCAGCAGACCAACAGCACCATATCTCACTTGGGACCTGATTTTCCAGGTTTGCACAAAGGTGGGGTGTTTTTCTTTAGGTTTTCTTTGTGAAAATCAGAGATTTGAGGACAACAATGCTGGGAAACAGAGGAATTTGGAATCCTTGCAGCATTCTTAGTTATTTTTGGATATTTTTGGGAGTTTGTGACCAGGACCAAGACATCCAAGACTGCACTTTTTCATCGAAATTGGGGATACAACTGTGAGGTCGAGGTTAGTGGATTTGGGAAAGTACTCTGGTTTTTTTGGTCATTTGGCTAGGGTAAAAAAGCAAAGGGTAGACAACCATACCCCATTTATCCAAAGTTTTACTATGTTTTTTTTGTGGGGGTTTATTAACTACAGTATATACAAGAAATACAAGAAAGGGTATGTATTGTTATGGGGTATAGACAATTTTAGACAATTGAACCTGTTGCTTTCTCGATCGTAATTTGCAGATGAAACGAGCACGTTAGTTGCCAACTATCCCCTAACCCGCCAGGAAATGTCTGTAGAGCATCATAAATCCAATTAGGGTTGCCTTGACCGTCTTTCTTAAACTTAAGAATCCCATTCGCATCTAAATCTAGACGTCAATCATCCAGAACCCAAGCTGAGGAGGTGTCTACCACACAGGCGCTGGGGGGGGAGTGACTATACTGAGAGGATGTTTTGATGGATATCCAGGGTGAAAAAAAGAAGCTATTGAAACATGGACCCATTGTTAGGTATATTCCAGAGATTCCCCAGCAAAACCATGATCATATCATTTCATATCATTTCGGCATCAGCATCTAAGGATCTAGAGGATACCACAGATCCATACAGATCTAGCACTCCTAAGCAGACAACAAGCTCCCTGGAAGTGGAATGGCCAAACTTGGGATCGCCCAGAAAAAATATGGTTTCCACATGGGGCGAGATTGCTAAGTTTCATAGTTAACTCCTATATAACTATGGTTTATGAATGTTTATGATACTTATAACGTATAACTATGGTATACTATGGTCACTAGGGGGTTTATAGACCAACAAACATCACTGAAAGTTGGCCCAGCTTGCAAGGCAAAGGCGACCTCCTTTAGAGCCAACGCGACGGATGCGAAAATCCGTGCCCTGGCACAGCACCTGGATGTAGAGCTGTTGGAAACACAACAAATGGGGGTAAAACAATGCCATAAACCACCCATTGGGGAATGATTTACATCACCTATAACAAATATATAGAAATGGTGATGACTGGGGGATGGTTTATGAAATTGTTTTACCCACATAATAGTACAAGAACCCCAAAAAGGATAGAACAGTTGGAAGACTGGCTGGAAAATTTGTGGATAACACAATCTATACCATCCTGGAATATTTTCGCCAACAAGAGAATGGCGATGTTACTATCAGCAAAGCGGCACAATGGGTATATTTTTTGACGTCTCAACTCATTAGTGGTCTCGACAAAAGTTGTTATGGTCCACCATCTGAATTAGGATAATGATTACGATTGAGAACTCTTTTTCGGACGGTTTGGAACAACAGGCTATCGTGGTTTAAGCATTTTAATCAAATCCATTTTTGCGTTTTGTTTGACGTTGAATGCATTGCCAAAATGAACAGAAACTAAGGATGTATCCTCTTGTAATCAAATGTGGTAATGGAATTCTGTATGAAAGGAGGTGTTGATGGGAAATCATCTAAGAATGGTAGTTTTGCATTGCCGTGTTGATTACCTTAGTTGTACCTTATGTTGTACAACTCATATTTTAAACATCAACCGTTTTGTCCCTGGAACTTCTCCAAACTGCCTTGAAGTATTTACCAATTGGGTCTCACTGCTTCCACAGAATTTACCCTCTGGTAAATTAACATAGCTATGGAAAATCACCATTTTTAATGGGGAAATCCACTATTAATGGCCATTTTCAATAGCTACGTTAAATTACCAGAGGGTACCATGATTGACCTGAAGGATGGGATCCGACCTTTTTTCTACTCGGGTCAGTGGTTTAACCATGGATCAAGGAGTGTCACAAGCCTCTCGCCCTTGTCCGGGCGCATCACCATGGGATCCATGGGGTCTTACTCTCTTGGGATGTTATGGTGCACACTGAGTGTAGGACAATCTCGGAACATGACATCTCTATAGATAAACAAACAGTAACATCTGCGGATGCTAACTATCCATATATAGATCGATGGTTTCCCCTCAAACATGGTGTTTCCTTGTAGCTATGGAAAATGGCCCACTTATAGATCATTAATTAATTGAGTATTACTTTACCTATCAAACATGGTGATTTTCCATATGTTGAAAAACCGGATGGTATTCTTCTCTCTTTATTGACCCTCTTCGGTCGTGGGACCACTCGCAGCCAAAAAACAAATGCGGCTCATCTTGCGATGGCACCTGGCAAATCCGCTTGAAATGGAGGTTTTCTACTGGGGAAAACTGGAAAACATCTATAAATGGTGGATATTCAGATGTTCAATTGCCATGTTTCAGTATCATCTTTTGTGATTGGACTGTGGCCATGTGTTGGACTTCCTACTACTTCGACGATCTTCGATTCCTGCAAGGAATGGGTTGTTTTATCCCATGAAGATGCCATCCAACATGCATGGAACAGGGAATGATTGGTTGGTTGATATACATATATTATATATATATACACATAGTAATATAATATAACTTATCATATAACAATTTGGCTGGGTATCATAGTATCATCTATACAAACTTATCTAATTGATTTTCTGGTTGGAACTGGAGTTCCGGATGCTACTGCTGAGGGGGCGACGGCGATGGCACGCTCATCACTGTGCGATCGGGACAGCCGGGTGACCAACGTTGGTGAAATGGTGCTTTAACCAACAACAACGACGACAGGGGATGGGTTCAAACCTATGCGACAGTTTGGGGGAATGGACATCCATTTGTTGCTTGCTTTATTTTGATGAGTGGGTTTTGACCGGTGGGGACTTGAGCAAGAATTTTCATTGGTATCCAAGAATACAGGGACATACAACCAACAATATCGGATGGGTTTGTCTCCAAACGGGTGACACCACATTTTTTTGGGGCTATTGAGGCTATTGGTGGATTGAAACCCGCCAAAATTGATCAAGTTCTTGGAGGTTTATGGTGTTGGGGTTACCACGTTTGATTCTTGAACATTGTAGGGTTGTGGATTGTTCTCATCTTGTATGCCTTTCCTCTGATGTCTATATGCAGCATGTTTTCTCTGTTATTTGCCATGTTTTATGTAGCCCTCTGAAACGAATATGGAACTTGACTCTGAGTGAACAATCAAAAGTACTGAACCTACTAACAACCAATCTTGGCGAACTGAATTGATGACTTGACATGTGCAACTGAACACAGCTTTGAACAAAATTGCTTGGAGCCAAGATCTCCCCGCATGTGCCAATCGCCTCGTTGGATGTCCGGCTGGCGATCGTAGCCGTAAATCTTGGAAAAAGATAACTGTTGAGTAGATAGCCGCTAGCCAATTAATAGCCATGACAAGTGCCATGACATATCATAAAACGGGAATTGTATGGAACTGTATGGACTTGTCCATAAACAAAACTGCTGATATCTGCTGATTTTCCGTAGTTATGTGAGTTTACTGGAGGGTATCCCCATGTTTGGTGACTACAAATCCCCTTTCCGTGCCACGTGTCACGCGTGGCTCACCGAGGCAGTCCATTGTGATTCAAGTCCGTGAGGGAGAACAGGTGCGAACAATATTACCATGGGTCTTTAAGGTCAGTTTCCCCATGAAAATCATGTGAATAACATGAACTAACCATAAAGCAGGGAATAACTGGATAACCCAATTTGTTTTAAAGAAACTCATGGTCTGTTTCGAGGATGAGTTAAAACGCATGAGTTTGACGCCTCAGATCCTAACGAATCTCGTTGGAAAACACACATGTCATGGATTTTTCCCAACTGACTGGAATCCGGAACATGTGATTGAACAGCAGCAGCAGCACACAGAAGCCCTGAGTTGACCCATAGCTGTATTTTCCAAAGCATTTCTAACCGGATTAATTCGTACCCTTCAATCAAGTAACATAGCTATGGAAAATGACCCATTTATAGTTGATTTACATACAATAACTAGGGAATACCCATAGCTATGTTAGTTCACCAGAGGGCAATTGTTTATACCTCAAGCGTCACGGCATTGATAGACATGGGCTGATATGCAGCGGAAACCACCAGCCTTGTTTGGGTACCATTGGCTACCCTCGGCAGTCACCATCAAGTCTTCATATACAGTAGATTTTCTGGTCTAGCAGTCTAGCAGTCTAGCAGTCTAGCATATCTATATATAATTATATATATACTATATACATCTATATACATATCTAGTCAGCTCAAACTAATCGGACATTAAATCAACAATGCAATGCAATGCTTGGGACCCGTATTTGGATGATCCATCAGGGACCCAAACAGGGCCCTCTGGTGGAAAATCAAACATGGCTAGCTGGAACATCCACTATAAATGAAGGCTTTTGGTGGGAAAATCTACTATAAATATGTATATATATATATATATTACTGTGTATCCCAATACTTTTTGGGGTTCTATTCATATGATAATCTATACCCGCTTGAAATCAAGCTGGGCCATGGAAAACACGCAAGAATATGAGTCCCCTATGATCCAACTTCACCCTCTACATAGTACAATCATACCCCCAACACTCAGAAGGTACTAGGGTAATTTCCAAAAACTCAGCTGGGTGTTGATTACATAATATTACATACATTCCGATATATTGGGAATTACTGTAGCATCAAATTCATTCTGCTAATCCCCATTTACCAACCACTATAAATTACAATGACACTGCTCATTTGTGGATGGTTTATCAAGTCCTAGATGCTCAGTATCCCAAATTTCCTTGAAAAATCATGCCATTGTATCCCAATTCATATCCCCAATATGCTATCTCCAATCTTGAGTTCAGACTCAACCAAACCCCCTCAGTTCAGTGACCCCAGCAGGGAGCTGCCACAGGTCACAACCAGCTCCCCCACGACCACCGCTGGAAAGCCAAGAGAACCGGAGCTTAGACTGATGGTGCGGGGCCAACTGACATGGGGTGCATAACCGGCAAAAACGTATAGAACATATTTAGAACATTGTGATTTAACCAAAGATTATGATAGGTAAGTTGGTTGCCAAGATTTGCTAACGAGGTCTAGACTTAGATGGGATTTTGATGGGATTATAAGCCAGCTTATACTGTGACTGGTGGGCCCTTCCTGCACCAATGGAAGGATGTCAATGAGCTTGAAGCGGCAGTGCATGATTTTTATGTGAAAAAGCTCCTTAATCTTAGAATTCTTCAAACCACCCTAATTTGAGGTACTTTGGATTACCCTCTGGTAAACTAACATAGCTATTGAAAATTGCCATTTATAGTGGATTTACCGTTAAACATGGTGATTTTTCATAGTTATGTTAGTTTACCAGAGGGTAATTGGGGCTATCTCCCCATTTTTGGTGAAGTCTTTGGGCTTTGGAAAGAGGGATCTTTCCGAGGACATTACCAACACCACGCTGGTAATTGAAAATCCTGTGAAGGCCCGGGTCGTGGAAGTTGGGGGATGTTGGGGTTGTCTTTGAGCTGAACTGACATAAAAAAAATCGCCAGCGAATCAATAGCTATTTTGGGTACTTGAATATGGCGGTAACTGTATATACAAGGCCTATGTAAGGGCTATCTAAGGGGATATATCCCCAAAATATGGCATGATATGATTACAGTACCTCTATTTTAGGTCATGAAATTCTCATTGAGCTAAGGAAGAGGATTTTGTGTCAGGGACAGCAAGAACCAAGCGGCCTGTTTAATCGATCTCCATATGTATCATATTGTTTTCAGTGCCGGGCGGTACTTCTCAAGGGCATTTTCTTGGTTCCTATACCTGTTGGTAAACGACTAGTCTTGCTGTAACGCAAGTCCAGCTTTTGGATGTGGCTCGGTTGGGGGACCCATGCGGAGATGGTTTGCTGGGTCAAATTACGATATTTCAAGATGGAACCCACATGAAGCCACTGTTTTCTGAGTCAAAGCCAAGGGTTTCTTTCTCCAAGCAATAGACTTAATATCCAGGGTTTCGTGGAACATCTTACTTTTTTTTTTCAAGCGTTGTCTCAAACTACATGAATTGGATTGCTTGGGTTGGTCACTAGCAGTCATCATGAACTTGGCTGGCTCATGAAAATTAGTTATTACACGAAAATCCTTGAACATCAGCATTTACCCTCTGGTAAACTAACGTAACTATGGAAAATCACCATTTTTAATGGGTAAATCCACTATTTCTATGGCCATTTTCAATAGCTATGTTAGTTTACCAGAGGGTATTAGAAGCATTTAGAAGCTATTTGTACCCAATGTGATGATGCTCCGATTTTTTGGTTTCCTGAGTCTCCTGCGACCATTTCATGTAGATACCCCCCAAATGTCCATGTTTTTTTGGTCACTTTCATGGTTGAAAACCCTAAATTTAATGATCATATTGTTGGATGTATATCCCACATTCCATGAGATAGCAATGATACATCCGTTGCAGATGCATTAAGAAACATTGATATCTGTGTCTCTATGTTAAACAATCAGACAAACCCAAGTGAAGTTCTGTTGGCCGATTATACTAAATATCAAGAATCATCCGATGTTTTCTTGATAAATTCTCCATGCATCAAGGTTTGCCCTCTGGTAATTTCACGTAGTGCACTGGACAACCACCATTTTTAGTAGCTACTGTATATATATATATGTATATAATTATATATATATGACTATAAATATATTTATATATCATGCTATATCATCATTCAAATCATCGAACTGGGCCATTTTCCATAGCACATCTGTTAAATCAATGAACGTCCCCACATGAAGCGGAGAAATCTCGCAGGCGTTGCCCGATGTCCCGGAGTTGCCACCGGAGCCTAAGGCCGAGGAGTTGCCGGCCCATGGAGATGGGATGAACATGGTCAAAAAGTTGGGGTCTATGGTGATTTAATGGTTTATTTCATGGTGATTTAATGGTGATTTAATAGGAGTTTATGGGATTTAATGGTGATTTAACGGGATTTTATGGGATTTAATGGTGTTTTAATGGTGATTTTATGGTTTATATCATGGTGATTCAATGGTGATTTAATGGTGATTTTATGGTTTATGTCATGGTGATTTAATGGTGTTTTAATGGTGATTTAATGGTGATTTAATGGTGATTTAACGGGATTTTATGAGATTTAATGGTGTTTTGATGATGATTTAATGGTGATTTAATGGTGATTTAATGGTGATTTAGTGGTTTATTTCATGGTGATTTAATGGTGATTTAATAGGAGTTTATGGGATTTAATGGTGATTTAACGGGATTTTATGGGATTTAATGGTGTTTTAATGGTGATTTTATGGTTTATATCATGGTGATTCAATGGTGATTTAATGGTGATTTTATGGTTTATGTCATGGTGATTTAATGGTGATTTGATTGTTTATATCATTGTGATTTAATGGTGATTTAATGGTGATTTAACGGGAGTATATGGGATTTAATGGTGATTTAATGGTGATTTAATGGTGATTTGATGATGATTTAATGGTGATTTAATGGCGATTTAATTGTGATTTAGTGGTTTATTTCATGGTGATTTAATGGTGATTTAGTGGTTTATTTCATGGTGATTTCATGGTGATTTAATGGTGATTTAATTGTTTATATCATGGTGATTTAATGATAATTTAATGGTGATTTAATGGTGATTTTATGGTTTATGTCATGGTGATTTAACGGTGATTTGATTGTTTATATCATTGTGATTTAATGGTGATTTAATGGTGATTTAACGGGATTTTATGGGATTTAATTGTGATTTAATGGTGATTTAACGGTGATTTAATGGGATTTAATGGTGATTGAACGGGATTTAATGGCATTGAATGGTGAATTTAATTGTTTTTTTTTTATATCATGGTGAATTTAATGATAAATTAATTGGTGATTTAATGTGATTTTATGGTTTAGTCATGGTGATTTAACGTTGATTTGATTTGTTTATTCATTGTGATTAATGGTGATTTATGGTGATTTAACGGGAGATATGGGATTTAATGGTGATTTCCTGTGACTTTAATGGTGATTGATGTGAAGTTAATGGTGATTTAAGGCATTAATTGTGATTTAGTGGTTTATTTCATGGTGATTTAATGGTGATTTAGTGGTTTATTTCATGGTGATTTCATGGTGATTTAATGGTGATTTAGTGGTTTATTTCATGGTGATTTAATGGTGATTTAATGGTGATTTTATGGGATTTTATGGTGATTTAGTGGTTTATTTCATGGTGATTTAATGGTGATTTAATGGTGATTTAACGGGATTTTATGGGATTTAATGGTGTTTTGATGGTGATTTAATGGTGATTTAGTGGTTTATTTCATGGTGATTTCATGGTGATTTGATGGTGATTTAACGGTGATTTAATGGTGATTTAACGGGATTTAATGGCGATTTAATGGTGATTTAATTGTTTATATCATGGTGATTTAATGATAACTTAATGGTGATTTAATGGTGATTTTATGGTTTATGTCATGGTGATTTAACGGTGATTTGATTGTTTATATCATTGTGATTTAATGGTGATTTAATGGTGATTTAACGGGAGTATATGGGATTTAATGGTGATTTAATGGTGATTTAATGGTGATTTGATGATGATTTAATGGTGATTTAATGGCGATTTAATTGTGATTTAGTGGTTTATTTCATGGTGATTTAATGGTGATTTAGTGGTTTATTTCATGGTGATTTCATGGTGATTTAATGGTGATTTAGTGGTTTATTTCATGGTGATTTAATGGTGATTTAATGGTGATTTTATGGGATTTTATGGTGATTTAGTGGTTTATTTCATGGTGATTTCATGGTGATTTAATGGTGGTTTAATGGTGATTTAATTGTGATTTAATGGTGATTTAATGGTGATTTTATGGTGATTTTATGGGATTTTATGGTGATTTAGTGGTTTATTTCATGGTGATTTAATGGTGATTTAATGGTGATTTTATGGGACTTTATGGTGATTTAGTGGTTTATTTCATGGTGATTTAATGGTGATTTTATGGGATTTTATATTGATTTAATGGTGATTTTATGGGATTTAATGGTGATTTAGTGGTTGATTGAATGGTGATTTAATGGTGATTTAATGGTGATTTTATGGGATTTAATGGTGATTTAGTGGTTTATTTCATGCTGACTTAATGGTGATTTACTGGTGATTTTATGGGATTTTATGGTGATTTAGTTGTTTATTTCATGGTGATTTGATGGTGATTTTATGGGATTTTATGGTGATTTAATGGTGATTTTATGGGATTTAATGGTGATTTAGTGGTTGATTGAATGGTGATTTAATGGTGATTTTATGGGATTTTATGGTGATTTAGTGGTTTATTTCATGGTGATTTAATGGTGATTGAATGGTGATTTTATGGGATTTTATGGTGATTTAATTGTGATTTTATGGGAATTAATGTTGATTTAGTGGTTTATTTCATGGTGATTTCATGGTGATTTGATGGTGATTTTATGGTGATTTAATGGTGATTTAAAGGGATTTAATGGCGATTTAATGGTGATTTAATTGTTTATATCATGGTGATTTAATGATAATTTAATGGTGATTTAATGGTGATTTTATGGTTTATGTCATGGTGATTTAACGGTGATTTGATTGTTTATATCATTGTGATTTAATGGTGATTTAATGGTGATTTAACGGGATTTTATGGGATTTAATTGTGATTTAATGGTGATTTAACGGTGATTTAATGGGATTTAATGGTGTTTTAATGGTGATTTAATGGTGATTTGATTGTTTATATCATTGTGATATAACGGTGATTTAATGGTGATTTAATGGTGATTTAATGGTGATTTGATGGTTTAATTCATGGTGATTTAATAGTGATTTAATGGTGTTTTAATGAGATTTAATTGGATTTAATGGTGATTTAATGGTGAGTTAATGGTTTATATCATGGTGATTTAATTGTGATTTAATGGTGATTTATTGGTGATTTAACGGTGATTTATATAAGGGTGATTTTATGGGATTTAGTGTTGATTTAATGGTGATTTAATGGTGACTTAATGGTGATTTAACGGTGATTTAACGGTGATTTAATGTTGATTTAATGGTGATTTAATGGTGATTTAATGGTGATTTAATTGTTTATATCATGGTGATTTAATGATAATTTAATGGTGATTTTATGGTGATTTAATGGGATTTTATGGGATTTCAAGGTGATTTAATGGTGATTTAATGGTGTTTCAATGGTAATTTAATGGTGATTTAATGGGATGTTATGGGATTTAATGGTGATTTAATTGTGATTTAGTGGTTTATTTCATGGTGACTCAATGGTGATTTAGTGGTGATTTAACGGTGATTTAACTGTGATTTAATGTTGATTTAATGGTGATTTAATGGTGATTTAATTGTTTATATCATGGTGATTTAATGATAATTTAATGGTGATTTTATGGTGATTTAATGGGATTTTATGGGATTTCAAGGTGATTTAATGGTTTAATTCATGGTGATTGAATGAGGATTTAATGATGATTTAATGGTGATTTAATGGTGATTTAACGGGATTTTACGGGATTTAACGGTATTTTATGGGATTTAATGGTGTTTTAATGGTGATTTAATGGTGGTTTAATGGGATTTTATGGGATTTAATGGTGATGTAATGGTGGTTTAGTGGTTTATTTCATGGTGATTTAATGGTAATTTAATGGTGATTTGATTGTGATTTAATGGTTTATATCATTGTGATTTAATGGTTATTTAATTGTTTATATCATGGTGATTTAATGGTGATTTCATGGTGATTTCATGGTGATTTAATGGTGATTTGATGATGATTTGATGGTGATTTAATGGTGATTTAATGGTGATTTAATGGTGATTTAATGGTGATTTAATGGTGATTTAATGGTGATTTAATGGGATGTTATGGGATTTAATGGTGATTTAATTGTGATTTAATTGTTTATATCATGGTGATTTGATGGTGATTTAATGGTGATTGAATGGTGATTTAATGGTGATTTATTGGTTTATATTATGGTGATTTAATGGTGATTTAATGGTCATTTAATGGTGATTTAAGGGTTATTTTATGGTGATTTAATGGTGATTTAATGGAGCAAATGGGTGTACCATCACCCGGAAATTTATCAGCAAATCTTAGAGTGGAAACTAATCTTGCAATCCCCTGTTTGGGAGGATCTATGTTAATTTGGGAGGTAAAAATAGGGATTTGACCATGAACCCAGGAGAATATCAGGGATTCAATGGGATGTTAACGGGGATATTTGATGGGATATCGATATATCATACTATATATATATGTATATATCATCAAGTATAGTGAAGAATTGGATGATATATATAAGGGGATGGTCATCCCCATCATTTTCGGAGGGTAAAATATGATGGGATGATTCTTGACCATGACACGTATGGGTTTGTCCCAAGGACAGCAGCTTGTCCAATGCTTCGGGATAGACACAAGACACCTTGAAGCATGATTGGAAAAACCCAAAATCCAAAGGTTGAAAGCAGTGGTTTCATTCATTTTAGCAATTTTTTCTTTCATTAGCATTGTTTTTGGGGTAAGTTCCCAGTCAAATAGACGAAAAAAGGAGGGACACAGTTGGGAATGGGTCAGATGTTTTTCGTGGCACCGTGGCACTTGGACCCAGTGGCCCAGTCGGGAATGGTTTCAAAATGGCTGCCCTCAGTTGTTTTTACAGGTCCTATTTATTTAATAAATATAATATGTGTAGGGTTCTAGATTCATCGAACACAAGGCAACTCTAGCAAACAAGAGGGGTTTACCAGCCCTGAAGTGTCAGAGTTGTTGAGCTTCATACCCCGAAAGAAGACACGATTTTTGTTTTGTAAGGGGTACACTTGGGGACATACCCTTTGACTTCCATCAGCCTACAAGTTGCTATGTGCTGTGACTGTTCTTTGATGCAAAATGATCGAAACCTCCAGTCCTGCCAACTTGCTGATTCAGTTGCTACATTTGCGAACTCGCACGGTGACACAAAATGCATCTGTTAAATGAAACAATAACATACATCCAATAACATCCCATATATACTGGTTGGTGGTTTGGAACATGTTTTATTTGTCCATATAATATTGGGAATTGTAACCACCAGCCAGACATACAATAACCCATTCTTATCATGTCTTATGCATTTCTGCGGAGCTGCAGGAGCCGGTGGATGTCGAGGGTGCGGATAGCCCGCTCCAAATCCAGTGGTTCAGCATGTTCCCGAACAGAAATGCATACAGTATCATACAGTATGCATTTCTGTTGATGAAATTAAACCCCATACCTGTTCGGCATATTGCATCATGTTGTGTTCCGTTGCACAAATTGCACACTATGTTTGGACAATAGACATTCGAAACTATTCGAAACATGCACAGATCAAGGAAGTGGGATGAGAATCTGGGAGTTCCCTGGTTGCGCAAGTGTAACAATGCGATTTTTATAGGGACAAAGTCACTTGCTGCGCACTTTTTGTCGGCTGATGCAAGCTGGATGTGTTTTGGGACACCGGAAAGGTTGGCTGAATCACCTACAGTTGAACCTCCAAATTGGGTGTGATACGAAAGAGCATTCCATACTGTAACAAATAATGTTTGTGGGGCTTCAATCGGGCTTCATGGCTCCACGATTCCCTGCAGGTGACAAAGTTGAAACCCCTGTTCCAAAGACGGAGTCCGAGGTGGAAATGGGCTGCGATTTACCTGGCTTCTCTTTTAGGAATTGTGAGGAAAAAATGAGGTTTGGGCACCAAATTTTGAGACATACCTACTGGGGATCCTTTTTAAAGCACCAATCGATAATCTCAAAGTTAGAAGGATGAGGAATCCCAAAGATGGGATTCCTTCCCGCAGTTCAGGCAGCAAAATGGGTTTGGCAGCCCCCATTTTTGGATACATGGCTATTTGACTTTTTGGTAGTAGTATCCAAATGAACACATACAGTAAGTACACACATATACATGTATATATAATCATACATACTGTATATATATATATATATGATCATATATATATATAGATAGATAGATAGATAGATAGATAGATACATAGATATAATTTTTTTCTGTATGACTAACAAACATAAAACGAATTCGAGCAGTCCACGACTGTTCAGATCCATTGATTCCGCCTCAACGTCCGACTGCGATATCCCACAGGCCAGTACGACCAAAGGCCGGCGGGCTGTCTGAAACGGGAAGCGTGGCATTTTTCACACTGCGCCACATTTTATAGATTTTATATTCAGCATTTAAAGTTAAACATGGTGAAAACATGGTGGGGTATTTTTTTTTGGTTAATCATGGGTGAATCCTATAGTTAATGATCTGGCATCATGGTTAATCATGGCTATCGCTGGAGCCATGGGCCATGTTGGTCGGAAAATGGTGAACCATGGCAGTTCCAGGTAGGGAACAATCGGAATCTCTAGGATTTAGGAGTGGTTTGTGAAACAAAAAATAACAAATTACTTTACTTCGTGTGATCCCCACCATGACATTTATACATGTTCTTACTGGCACATCTTCTGGCATTCTATCTGACATATCTTCTGACATTCTATTTGGCATTCTATCTGACATATCTTCTGACATTCTATTTGGCATTCTATCTGACATATCTTCTGACATTCTATTTGGCATTCTATCTAGCATATCTTCTGGCATTCTATCTTCTGGCATTCTATCTGGCAAATCTTCTGGCATTCTATCTGGCATATCTTCTGGCATTCTATCTGACATATCTTCTGGCATTCTATCTGGCATTCTATCTGGCATATCTTTCTGGCATATATTCTGACATATCTTCTGGCATTCTATCTGGCATTTCTTCTGGCATATCTATCTGGCATATCTTCTGGCATATTTTCTGGCATTCTATCTTCTGGCATTCTATCTGGCAAATCTTCTGGCATTCTATCTGGCATATCTTCTGGCATTCTATCTGACATTTCTTCTGGCATTCTATCTGGCATTCTATCTGGCATATCTTCTGGCATATATTCTGACATATCTTCTGGCATTCTATCTGGCATTCTATCTGGCATTCTATCTGGCATATCTTCTGGAATATCTTCTGGCATATCTTCTGGCATTCTATCTGGCATTCTATCTGGCATATCTTCTGGCATATCTTCTGGCATTCTATCTGACATATCTTCTGACATTCTATTTGGCATTCTATCTGGCATATCTTCTGGCATTCTATCTGGCAAATCTTCTGGCATTCTATCTGGCATATCTTCTGGCATTCTATCTGACATATTTTCTGGCATTCTATCTGGCATATCTTCTGGCATATATTCTGACATATCTTCTGGCATTCTATCTGGCATTCTATCTGGCATTCTATCTGGCAAATCTTCTGGAATATCTTCTGGCATATCTATCTGGCATATCTTCTGGCATATTTTCTGACATTCTACCTGGCAAATCTTCTGGCACTCTATCTGACATTTTATCTTCCTACATGAGGTCCGGCAGGGAACACTTGGCGTGGATACTCGCGGTTGAGGTCCGGCAGGGAACACTGGGCGTGGATGGTCGTGGTTGAGGTCCGGCAGGGAACACTGGGCGTGGATGGTCGTGGTTGAGGTCCGGCAGGGAACACTTGGCATGGATACTCGCAGATGAGGTCCGGCAGGGAACACTGGGCGTGGCTGGTCGTGGTTGAGGTCCGGCAGGGAACACTGGGCGTGGCTGGTCGTGGTTGAGGTCCGGCAGAGAACACTGTGGATCGCGGGTCGCAGTTGGACGAGGACGACGAGGACGACGAGGACGACGAGGACGACAAGGACGACAAGGATGACAAGGAGGACGAGGAGGACGAGGAGGAGAGGAGGAGGAGGAGAGGAGGACGAGGCAGGAGGAGGAGGCAACTGACATAAAATCTAACAACCCTGACCTGGCAGGTGGGGAACAATAACAAAAAGATAACTCTGGTTGGTACACACATATATATATACACATACACATATCATATATATATATATACAAATGAATATACCACATCATATCACATATATATATATATGCATATATAAACACGTTTTTAACTGACCATTTCACCTCCAGCCCTGCAGGCTTTTCTGCCTACACCAACCTGGCCTTGCGAACTCGCTGAGGCCAGGTCCAGGGCCTGGCAACAAGTTCACATACTGTATATAACCATTGGATTATACATATAATAAGATGCTTAACCATTGGATTTGGAGACAAACCCAACATTAATTGTGTATATATATATATATACACGGTGTATAGATATATATGTATATATATATATATATACATGATTTGTTTGATAGTTGTTGACTTGTGACTATAACATATGATAGCAATCCAGATAGACACTGATAGATGATATGTTGCCCACTCGCTAAAAGGTGAGCAGTGCAAGTCATTCCCCATGGATCCAAGTAGCTTCTTGGGAAGTTCTTGGAGATCTTGAGGTATGATTTTGGGGATTGAGTACCTTCTCAGAAAGTGTGTAGATCCATAGGGATGTTCGTTATTTCCTAGTATTTATGGAAGGACATAAACTCAATGCATTCTATGTTTACAAAACATTGAACCAGTTAGGCCTGCCTGAAACAACTGAAACAATGATGGTGCTGAGATTCGGATCATTAGCACTCCATACTTGGAATGTTCATGAATGTTCCAATTTGCAATTTGTTCATAACGGGTCATCAGCCAGTTACTATGTCTGGGATGTTACCCCATTCAATCAGGGAAGTTCCCAACCAGAGGACTTGCTAACCAGGGGACTTTCTGGGGGATCGATCGATCATTTCATCAATTTCCAAGAATCTAAGATTAAAACATGGCGTGTTGCAGGACTTTTTCTGGGAACCAACTGCTTGGAATTGATGTTTTTTGTGGCTCCAGTTTGGTACCCTTGGAGGCCTCCAAGGTTACCGGCTCTCCAGGTGCTTAAAAAAAGCGGCATTGTACAAAACCGCCATAGTTAGCCGTGGATTGCAAGAGCACCAGCTGGGACACGAGTCCCGCCAGTGGATCTAACGTGCCAGCAGGGCCGAGATTTTTTCGCATTTTGGCACTTTAGATATGTACAATATTGATCAATATTGTACAATGTAATGTATGTATTAGTCGGATTATTCTATTACTAGATGATGTTATCTTATTTAAAGTTAGATACAGAGTTTATGATGATAATGATAGTACTAGTTTAGTGAGGTTTTCCAGGGCTTAGGTGGATTTACTACATATCATCCCACCCAGATATGCGGTAAGCAGCCGAGTGTTGGGTAGCTCAGGCACTTGTTGAGACGCTGGTGGCAAGGGTTGCAAGTAGATTGCGTAGCAGCAGCATAAGCTATGATTTAGGGAACCCAACTCTCTGATCCCTTGAACATAGTAGCTTCAAATGGCCCCAAACGCTCTCACAAAGGACTGAACCAATAATCAGTACATAGCAGGTAGTGACCCTTGGTTTGCCAACGAGTGGAGGTCATCAACCCAGATTACGATTTTTTCAACATGGAAACTGCAAACTCACTGGCCATGGCACGACGTGACGGGCCGCAGGTGTGGACGAGTGTTTTAAACCCAACATCATCTGGGGCTCTGATTCGGAAATTATATGATATTATATATGTTATGTTATTATTATTTTACATTATTTGATTTAGTACATTTTACTATTGATTGCATTGATATGATGTGTCTCTTGTATTGATTCGACATTTCTGTGTATAGGTGAACTCATCATGAAGGTGATGGAAATGGCACATGAAACAGCAATGTTTTGCCGATGAAGGGTGTTAACATTCTACCGTAGAGGTTATTCCAGATGAACAGTGACAAGAATCGCTGTTGATCAATTATGATTCAGGACGTCGTACGTCCTAGTTGATTGGGAACCATGAACTGACCCACTACGGGAACCCCTCACCCAATCAGTGTAATAGTATAATGGGGGATTCAACCACAACGACGGGGCTATAGAACCAACTACAATGTGCCATAATGGGGATACAATGCGGATAGCAAGGGATACATCGCCAACATTCGCCAACAATATATAGCCGCAGCCAACAATATACTATAGTAAATGTACTAGAGTAATTATATTTTATAATATAGATTTAAATTCATTATGATAGTTATTTATATACTTAGCCAACCATGGGTTTTGGGCACTCCTTGAGTCTTGCAATCCATTCATAGTCATAGGTGGTCTCACACCCTGCCGCATGCCGTGACGCTCCGCTCAGTTTCACCGTGACATGCAGCGAGGTTCAGATTCCACATGTCATCAACGAAGTTTGTACCTGTGTAGGCATTATGGTATTAACAAGAACTACACCAAAATTGGGTAGATGACTAGATTAAGAAAATAAACAATAATTTGGTGTTGTCTAGTCCAGAATTGGTAGCTATACCCAAATTTAGAGAATGTTCATCCTATTTTACTAATTCATTTGGCAAAACTTTTTTTTTAAAAAAAATAAGTAGATGAACATCCCAGCATACTCGAAGTCAAGCCTCCTATTCTTTCACCCTTTTTTCAAAACAGCATAGCAAAGTTTTTGAGCCAGAATCCAAATGGGTGGACCCACAACATGCAGGAGACAAGATAGCAGCCTAATCTTAAATGTGTTAAACTGTTTAACCCAATAATTTTCATAAACCATCCCCAAAACCACCATCTAAAGATGGATGCTTTTTGAATCATCCCCAGTAGGACTACATTGGGTTGCCCAGCTTCCATGGCGCTGCTTCTACTTGGCTCAACAGCTTAAGCACGATGACGTAGGCGGCAACCCCGCCATCGGGCCGCGTTGGGGGCGGCGCCTCGCCGGAGGATTTGACAGCGACATGTCTGAAAACGGGGTATACCGGTATACCTACAAAATGGCAGCTTTAATTACCATGAAATTCAATGGAAAAGTATGATTCACCCTTACATGGAATATATATGTGATTTTGGGAAAATGATAATAGCCAATAGTACCATCATGAAATTTCAATCCCACACCAAAGATACCTCTGGATGTATGGAGATGTCTTGAAACATGGCACATGGGGTATTGTTGAGAATCCAGAACGCGGCAGTTTAGTCCTCTGTTAGGCTGAAATGATCTCATTTGACGCTGTGATATTGGCTTAACAAGCACTTGATCTCGCATCTAGGCCGGCAAAGCTCGGTCTGAATCCCTATCAATCCCCATAGATTCCTACGAATCCATGTTAAATCCCATTGATGCCCTGGTTCCCTGCCAAGGTACGTACTTTTGAGCAGATGACGGAGATGACGCAACTCTGCCAAATTTGAGCCTGGTTCATCAGTGGTATATGCTTACTATGCAATATATGGTATATTATGGTATAATATATATATATATATATATTATATATAATTATAATGTGTAATTATATGTAATTTTGAATGGTTTATAATGAATTATTTATACGCCCTAGGCCACAAAAATATGAGTCATAAAACAACTTCGCCATGGAATGATGATGCAACCGTAGTAGAGGTGCAACAGCGATATATGAGGATATGATCAAATAACACAACTCAAAGATGATTTCTTGTAATTTTTCAAGTATCCGCTACTGTAGATAGAACAAGACACAACATCGTGAAATGGCCCCAACTTAAACACGACTTTTGCAAAATCCTGGGGATTAAGACATTTGGACCATCCATCATTCTTCCTATAGAAACAACTGAGAATATACACACTCACATTGAAGCCTGTGTGACTATATGACTCCTAGTTTGGCTGATCCTCGGGATGCGCACAAAGGGATGGTATTGAACGATACCCACATGGCATCAACGCAGAAAACTAAGTAAGAACACTGAATTCCGTGTTTTTTTTTACCTACCAGAAATGGGTAGAATAAACCATCCACAATTGGAGGTCTGTTTTTCATTGCCGTATTATACATATATATATATATATATGTAACATAAACTTATGCATCTGGAGCATACCCCAGGACCCTCCTGAACCAGGACCCTCCTGAACCAGGGTCTGTTGGACCTATCATGATGGTTTTATATTCTGCCAAATCATCTTATTCCCCATTGAAACTGCTGTTTTTCAGGGACATCACCCCATTTTTTGAATGGTTCCATCTCATATCCAATGATGTCCCATTAAAATGGTAGGCTCTTCCTTTATGGTTGTTGTTGCTGTTGCTGTTGCTGCTGCTGGTGTTGTTGTTGTTGTTGTGCTGCTGCTGCTGCTGCTGCTGCTGTTGCTGTTGTTGTTGTTGTTTTTGTTGTTGTTGTTGTTGTTGTTGTGCTGTTGTTGTTGTTGTTGTCGTTGTAGTAGTAGTAGTATTAGTAGTAGTAGTAGTTGTTGTTGTTGTTGTGGTGCTGTTGTTGTTGTTGTCGTTGTCGTTGCCGTTGTCGATGTTGTTGTTGTTGTTATTGTTGTTGTTGTTGTTGTTGATGTGTTGGTGTTGTTGATGTTGTTGTTGTTGTTGTTGTTGTTGTTGTTGTTGTTGTTGTTGTTGTTGTTGTTGTTGTTGTTGTTGTTGTTGTTGTTGTTGTTGTTGTTGTTGTTGGTGTTGGTGTTGGTGTTGGTGTTGTTGTTGGTGTTGTTGTTGTTGTTGTTGTTGTTCTTGTTGTTTGTTTGTTTGTTGTTGTTGTTGTTGCTGTTGCTGTTGTTGTTGTTGTTGTCGTTGTCGTTGTCGTTGTCGTTGTCGATGTTGTTGTTGTTGTTGTTATTGTTGTTGTTGTTGTTGTTGTTGTGCTGCTGCTGCTGCTGTTGCTGCTGGTGTTGTTGTTGTTGTTGTTGTCGTTGTTGTTGTTGTCGTTGTCGTTGTTGTTGTTGTTGTTGTTGTTGTTGTTGTTGTTGTTGTTGTTGTTTTTGTGCTGTTGTTGTTGTTGTCGTTGTCGTTGTTGTTGTTGTTGTTGTGCTGTTGTTGTTGTTGTTGCTGTTGTTGTGCTGTCGTTGTCGCTGTCCTTGTCGTTGTCGTTGTCGTTGTTGATGTTGTTGTTGTTGTTGTTGTTGTTGTTTTTGTTGTTGTTGTTGTTGATGTGTTGGTGTTGGTGTTGTTGTTGTTGTTGGTGTTGTTGTTGGTGTTGGTGTTGTTGTTGTTGTTGTTGTTTTTGTTTTTGTTTTTGTTGTTTGT